GTCAAAAAGTCTTTTTTTTTCTTTTTTTTTTTCTTCTTTTCTTTTTTCTTTTTTTCCTCCCCTTTTTTTTATTAGTATTTTTTTTATTTTATTTGTTGCTTCCCGCTCGATTTTCTGCTTGTCTCGCTTTCTCTCGCTTTCTCTCTCTCTCTCTTTTTTACCTGCTTCTTCCTCCTCCTCTTCTTCTGCTTTTTTTCTTTCTTTCTTCCTTCCTACTAGTTAATCTCACTTGTCAAGCCCGGTTCATTAGGCCGCTCCCTGATTTGCTGGGTCCACCCTCGCTTTTGTTTCGTTGCTTTTCTTTTCTTCCTCGTCTTCGCGTCCCCTTGAAAAAAGCTGGTTCAAATCTTACGCTTTAACCCTCCCTTTCGTCTTCGCTCTTCCTTCGCTCGCTTTATCCTCCTCCATCCTTCTCGTCCACCAGCAAGAAGCCCATCAGGTCTCAAGCAAGCTCCAGGTAAGCCGTTGTCTCTCTATCATCAGCTGGTTTCTGTGCAATTGTCGTCGTCGTCGTCGTCGAGCAGAAGACGGAGGAGAGACAGGAACACAGTCCCTCCCTGCTGGCTGTGCGACGCCTGTGACACCCCTTTTTCTTAAAATTGAAACCCTTTCCTCTTCTCCCTTGAAACGCCCTCACTTCTTTCCCTTCGAAACAAAAATCCCACAACAAACAAACAAGGGCCTTTAAAAGAAGGTCTCGGGCGGGCCCTCTCTCTCTTCTGTTTGTTGTTGTTGTTGACCTCGCGTTCTGTTCTGCTGTCGACACTTTCTGCATCCCCGTCTTATCAGGTCAAGATTTGCTGACTCGACCGCGTCCAGCTCACGTCCTGACAAACCTCACGAGATGGCCATCACCAAGTACCTCGTCTCGGCCCTGGCCGTTGCCGGTTTGGCCTTTGCCAAAGGTGAGTGCATTACGACGCGTTGGCGCCCTGATACTCGAAAAGTGGTGATGGTGATGATGATGATGGAAGACGACGGGATGGACAGATGGCTGACCCGATAACCGATTTAACAACAGACTGCGCCGGAGACCTCACCATTGAGAACCAGCAGGATGTCTCTACACTGAGCAGCTGCGAGAAGTGGGACGGAGACATCATCATCAGCGAGGTTGTCAAGTCCTCCATCTCCCTCACTGGTGTCAAGCAGGTTACCGGCTCTCTCAAGGCCAAGAACTCCAGCATCACTGAGCTTTCTGCTCCCAATTTGAACAGCATTGGTGATGCCCTCAGCCTCAGCACCTGCACAGCCCTGAGATCCCTGGATTTGAGTTCTTTGACCAAGGTCAAGACCCTCTCGTTGGAAGCCCTGCCAAAGCTCCAGGCCCTTGGATTCACCCGCACCGTTTCCCAGGCTACCTCTATCCTCATCACCAACACCGATCTCACCTCCCTCCAGGGTCTCGATCTTGAGACTGTCGGCGACTTCATGGTCACCAACAACCCTCACTTGATGGAAATTAACGTCAACAAGATGACCAACATTACCGGCTACCTGAACTTCGCTGCCAACAACAAGCAGCTTTCCGTCAAATTCCCCAACCTTGAGGGTGCTCACAACATGACCTTCCGCAACGTCAGTGAAGCCTCGTTGCCTTCCCTTCACAAGATGGATGGTCTCCTCGGTTTCTACTCCAACTTCTTCATGAACATCAGCGCTCCCAACCTCACTGCCACTGGTGACCTTGTCTTCACTAGCAACTCCGCGGTCATGAACATCTCCATGCCAAAGCTCGAGACCGTCAAGGGTGGCTTGCAGCTTGCCAACAACTCTGCCCTCGAGGATATCGAAGGTTTCCCCGACCTCAAGCTCATCACTGGTGCCCTCGACATTACCGGAAAGTTCAAGACGTATGTTTCTCTTTATTTTTTTTTGTTGTTGTTTCTTCAACCTGCCCATTGCTAACACATAATATAGTGTCAAGTTGCCTTCTCTCAAGGAAGTCCGTGGTGATGCCAACCTCCAGAGTACCGAGACTTTCGGCTGTGAGCCATGGCAGAAACTCAAGGACAGCGATGTCATCCGCGGCAAGCTCACCTGTCGCGAGAGACAAGAGAAGCCCAAGACCGGTGACGACCAGTCTGGTGGTGATGAAGAGGGCCACAAGGGTGCTGCTGTTGCTTTCGCCAAGGCTCCTGCTGCTGCTCTCCTCATCGCTTTCGTCGGTGCTCTCCAATTCTTCTTGTAAAATAAAGCATGTTCCACACAAACACTCACCCCCCCCGCACACACCAAATACCAAAGTACATGATGGCGTTGTCCTCCTTTTGTCCCGCTCCCTCTTGTACCGTTCGTCTTCCTTTCTAACGATACAGTTTTTTACCCTCTTTTTTTACCTCTTGTGGCATTCAATTAAATTGTATCTCTTCCCCCCCTTATGTCCGCTTTAATGGTTTATTAGTCCAAGTCGAACGGTAGTAATTCAGCATTTCTTACTCTTAACCTCTTGTTCCTTGATCCGCCGTAAAACAGTAAATAGTAGTCTTCATCTCAGCAGTCTCCATCTTTACTATGTAGTTCTTCCCCCTTTTCGTCCGTCTCTCCGTCTCTGATACAATCGTCCTGCTTATCTAACACGAGGCCACGTGACCCCTTACGCAAGTCGCTTTCCTTTCATCTCGCTCGTCCAGAAGAAAATGTCGCCCCTATGCAGTATCACCCTCGCCCTCGCTTCTCTCTCTCTCGTCTTCCTCCTCGTCCACGGCGTCCATTGTGCTTCCCTCCTCGTCCTCCTCCTCCTCTGCGTCAGTCCTCTGATATCTGATACCTGCCATCCGCTGTTGGGCGGCTCAAGGTTAGCCTTTTCGAGATACCAACCGTTTTCTAAGACATCGAGCTGGCTGACACGTCTAGAACCCGGTAGATATCACTCTTCTTCAACGACCCGGAGGAAAAAAAAAAAAAACAAAAGGAAGATAAAATAATAAAACAACGGAAAAGACAAGGCGCACAAGAGGAATTCGCTATATCGGTCGACCTGGAGGCGCGCTGATATAGTCTCGGGGCCCATCGTCACTTCACTCGTTTGTTTTACTGCCCGGACGCATAGCCTGATTTGCTGCCTCCGTCTCCAGAAGGGAGCTCGAGTACGACCAACCGAAGTCCTACTCGAGTACACGCAGCTAGAACCAAGTCAAAAACATAGACGAGACTGGGCTCTTCTTGCAGACAAACGCCTCCAAGATGCTTCTCCCCAAGGGCGGCGTGACATGGAAATCGGCAAAAGCCAACCTGCCACCATGGAAGGCAGTGCTCATGCTCATTTCAAAACCCCGGTTCATCATCTCCATTGCCGCCGCGGGGCTGGTTGTACTGCTCTGGGGCGGTGTTAGTCGGTCCACGGCTGAGATGCAGAGGTTCGTCCTATCAGTTACAAGATATATATGAACATGTCCGTTCTAACAGCAGCACCGGTAGATATTACTGCTTCGGCCCATCAAAACCTCCAAACCACATGTCCGCCAACGAGATGGTAGACTGGCACTCCCATCTCCAAACCCCCGTCATCTTCAACCACCACGAACCATACGAAGTGAACAACACCTCCATCCAAAACATCAACCTGAACCTCGTCAAAGCTACCCCAAAGGCAGCCGCAATGGAAGAACGTGTCTTGATCCTCACGCCGCTACGCAATGCCGCTAGACACCTGGACAAATACTTTGACTTGCTCTCTATGCTCACCTATCCACACCATCTGATCGATATAGCCTTCTTGGTCAGTGATAGCAACGACGAGACTCTAGCTGATCTGGCTGCGAACCTGAACCGCGTGCAGTCGATGCCAGACAACATTCCATTCCGCAGTGCGATGGTTGTAGAGAAGGATTTCGGCGCCACGTTGGATATGGATGTCAATGCGAAGCATGGATACGAGGCCCAGGCTCCCAGACGGAAGATGATGGGTAAAGCGAGAAATTTCTTGCTGGCCACGGCATTGAAGCCCGAGCATTCTTGGGTCTACTGGAGAGATGTCGATATTGCCGATAGCCCGCCCAAGATCATTGAGGACTTTGTCGCGCATAACAAGGATATCCTTGTTCCTAGTATGTTTTACTCCTCACTATTTGGTTGTGGTGGATACCTGTTTATTAACCATGCTATAGATGTTTGGTTCCACCGATATGTCGATGGCCATGATATCGAAGGAAGATGTAAGTCTACCTGTACTCCTTAACGTTGGCCCTCTTCAATGCTAATTGCTCTTCACTAGTTGACTACAATTCCTGGGTAGAATCAGACAAGGCCCGAAAGCTAGCTGCGACCTTGGACAAAGATACCATCATCGTCGAGGGATACCGAGAATTCGACACCGGACGCCGCCACATGGCTAGAGAAGGTGACTGGAGGAAAAACAAGGACGAGGAACTCGAGTTGGATGGAATCGGTGGTGTCAACATCGTCGTCAAAGCTGATGTTCACCGAGCAGGTTCGCTCTCTACACCCATCCATCTAACTTATACGAAGATACTTGTCTAACGCAACCATCGCAGGCATCAACTTCCCCTCATACGCCTTTGAGAACCAAGCTGAAACCGAAGGATTCGCTAAGATGGCCAAGCGAGCTGGATACCAAGTCGTCGGTCTACCGAACTACGTCGTCTGGCATCACGATACTGAAGAAAAGCCCGGAAACGTCTAATCCAAAACAATACGCTCCTCCCTCTCATCCTCCGCCACGCTCTACTTCCTCACAACACATTAATGACACTCCCGGTGCCACAACGTGGCTCCTACCCCCATGACAATTCTTCACTTGCATACTGCGACAAATACCAAAAAGCCACGTTTTAATCGCATACGTACACCCCCTTCTAAGCGGCCCAGCTCACGCAAATAACCGCTCTTCTTCCACTTCCCGCTCTTTATTTATAGACTAACACCTGCCTCCTTGCCTTACCATACCTTCAGTCGATGATTTCGCTATGTCTCTTCTCATGTTTGGTTGCTTTGATTTCCTTTCTTTTCGCTCTGTATTATCTTCTACTTTGTCTCGTTTTCTCTTCCCGTTCAGGTCTCTTTTTTCCCGGACCGAAAAAAACATATACTGTCTAAGCTAAGCGTGCCAGATCCTCGGACCTACCAACGTCAATGTCAACACTGCGTCCGAGTCCTGCGGCCGTATTGCTTTGCCCGTACATATGTCTGAGGTTCAACCAATCATCTATATCCCGTTCCCGTGCAGGAAACCAACCCCCCCTTTTTCTTTCTTTCAATATTTGTTTCTCTACCAACCACTCTTAATCACCCGCCTGGTTTCCAGTATTCCCTTCTTCCATTGACTGATTGACCGTTTGACTGTTTCAGTTTCAGCTTCACTACTTAACTTTTTTGGGCTAGGCGTTTCCTTTTCCTCTTCCTCTCCTCCGCCTTATATCTCTAATATCCACTTTGAAAACCGGGGAGTCCCGCACCTCTTCACTTCGGCCTTTTTCTTTCCTGTCTGTTGACAGATTACTTCTCTTCTCTTATTGTTTGTTTTTCCCCCTTTTTTCTCATCCATTTTTTGATGATGAATGTGTGTGTTGAAGTAGTGGCTAGTTGGTTGAAGTACGGGGGTATGTAGGGCGGGAGTTAGGTCGTGGTGTAAGATTTACCTACTTCAATGCATCCCAGGTGTTTTTTCCCCCTCTTCTTCCAGTTTTTATCGATGTAGATGATCAAGTCATAGGAGATAGATAGTGGAAGCAACCTCCGTCAATATATCAATATCAACATATATACCTACCTAGACTCAGGAATGGATGATACATGAGGTACCACGCCTGGCAAGGCCAATTACTAAATATCAACAAGACAGAAGAAAATGGAATAATATACAACGTCTATTCTCCAGCTTAATCGAGCAAAAAAGCAAGCATCTAAACGCCAGGTATATATGTATGTGTGTGGTTCCGTATAAATGGCACCATCTATGACAAGTAAACCAAAGAGAGACGTGTCCTTGAGTGGAAAGAAAGAAAAGGTATCTCTTAGCCATTCGCAACTCGAATCAATCAGTGATTCGTTAAACCGAGTCGGTTTCGTAACGAGAGCCAATGCTCGTAGATCTCCAGCTTTATCTCGACGCGAAGATAACTAACCCATGCCTGCAGGAAGCGGAGGAAGTTTGGTGGCCAGAATATGCTTCCTTGCTGGGAGATGAGTTCCATTTCTTGCGAGAAGACAGCACAAGTAGCATATTTGGCTAGAATGAGAAACGTTCGTACGGGCCCGTGGCGAGTATGTAGATTCTCGTCAAGATTGCGAGCTAGAAGGGTTGGTTGCCCGTTAGTTCCATCAAAGACATGTATAGATAGTTCAAACTGAACTTACTAAGGTCGTTTGTTTTTAGGATCAGAAGCATGATTCGGGGAACTTTGCCTAGCAGACTGACTAATTCCTGTAACATGCCGTCTCCCAAAGCAGTGGTGATGGATTCTTTCTCCTCCGATGATCGAGAGGATGCAACTTGGTTCTGTGCCAGGACCGTATAATCTCTCCCGGTAATAGCGCTTGCAAACAGAGGGAACTCTTCGTCCGTTACACCGGCAACTTCATAAGCGTACTTTCGCATCTCCTTTTCATCTGCGTTGATCACAGCAAGCCAGAGTTTGGCGTAGTTGATACGCATTTCCTTGGGAATGGTTCGGTATAGGCCATGGTCATATAGGACGATATCGAAATTAGGTCCGCGCTTCCTTGTGTTGTTTTTGCATATTGCAATGTTTCCTCCGTGAGGATCGCAGTGCAAAGGCGCGCCATCACCAAAGATCATTTCGTTGAATATGTGAGCTAGTGAAGCCGATACCTCATCACGGTCAATGTTATTGGAGTCAAGAAACTCCAGATCATCAGGCCGATGGCCTGATATGAACTCCATTACCAGAAGGCGTTTCTTGGCCCAAATAACTACGATCAAAACAATGTCAGCGGGGCACGACACACTGGAATACAGTTCAGGAGGCCTCCTACCTTTCGGGATAATGAGTGGTGCATTGGTCCTTTTGCTGAAGTATTCACGGGCCACTCTTGCGTTCTCAGCCTCCATTTGGAAATCCAGTTCCTGGGGTAATGAGAAATCCATCTCCCTGGCCAGCCATTCAAGATCGTATTCTGGAAACACTCGCTTCAGTGAGGAGAAAGTGAAGCGTGTAAGGCTCAGGTCCAAGGGAGCCCACTCCTGCAGGGTAGGATGCTGCACCTTGACAGCAACTTTCTGGCCTGTTTCTCGCAGAACAGCCACATGGACCTGCGCCAAAGATGCGGCTCCAATGGGCATCGGGTCGAAACTGGAGAAGATTTCGTCTATCGTGTGGCCTGTGTCTCTAAGGAACATCTCCTGAACTGACTCAAAGGATGAGACGGGGCATTTGTCCTGCAGGGGAATGAAGGTTGTGGTCCATTCCAGCGGTAGTAAGTAGCCTAAGCTGCTTAGATGCTGGCCCAGCTTGATGAATATTGAGCCGTTCTTTTCGAGGACCTTTAGCGTTCGATCGGCGCATCTCTGATGGCATGCATTTAGCAGTGCAGTCCTTTCTTCCTCCGTGTCCGTCTCTTTATTCAATGTTACCCGGTAGCTATTGGACGGTTAGCAACATATACCCCTTTAATAAACTGTTGGTTTATGAACTCAACTCGTTGATGCAAACTAGCAAGGCTGCAACAACTCTTCCCGTCCGTTCTGCTGCTCGGTATGCATGCTTCACATCATCGTAGAAGAAGAGCAAAGTTCCTCCAAGCGTGCCAGTGGCAGCTGCCAGTACGAACCCCTTTCTCGATCGCTTCCTCCTGTTCACTCTGGAAGCTCCCTCCTGCGCGCCACCGGTTGTCTGCCCATATCGCGGGCTCGTACCATGGTATAGCCGTTTATTATCCAGCAGCACGCCTCCAAATCTTGTGCTATTATCCCACCGAACGCATTGCTGGCATGACCAGGCTTGTATCACTGATGGCGGGAACCTTCCGAGGGTCGGCTTCGGAGTCAAGAATCGAGTCGCGATCCGCGCAGACATGGTAGGCCAGATCACGGAGCCGGAGACTGTCTATCTGTACACCAGGTCCTGAATTGACCATCTCCCATTGCGGCCCAGCGCGGCGTCGAATTGGATGTCTCAAAGACGAGGCCTGATGCGACGAGGTCATCGTCTTTGGAGTTTTTCGGTCTCGGTAGCTTTTGACTTTTTTCCCTTCCTTATCGATAAGAGTTTTGCCTCTTCGCGCGGTTATTTGAAATTGTTAGCTAAAAGGAAAAAAAAGGACCGCCGAAAATCATACGACGGCAGAGTCAAGGAACGTACGATGCGACTCTTGCACCGGGGGAGGCACCGTCAGGCAAAGCCAGGGTAGACGGGCATGTGGGCTGCTGGACGGCGACAGCGTCTATTTGCCCTGTGGACGGGAGGTGGCCAGCTGCTTGTTCCTGGATGTGGCGGGATCTTGACCCCTGAGCCAGTCCTGCGCCGGCGGCCAGATAAAAGGTAGATTGACTGCCTTTAGCTTCGAGAGAAGGACGTAATAAAGTAGAAGAGAGTAAAATATCATATAACGTACTGGCCTGTGCCGAAAGATAATAAAAAAAAGAGGTGTCGTCTTGACCTTGTCTCCTGTAATATCAGCCCTGATCTGCCTGCTGCGTGCCTGAAAAAAACAGTGAGTGTCTTCTGCAGCACCGTCGTCCGTCTCTCTCTCATCTTACACCATCGCTGCAGTTCTTCCACCATGGGCCAGAAAGACGTCGTCTAATCGATACACCGACCACAGAAGCACCCTCCAGCCTAGAAGACGCACCTTACAATGGCTGTTACCGAAACTGCTGCTGGGCGTGCGGCGTCGAGGGTGCAGCCTGGCGCTGCTCCTCCTCCCGACAGTTCAATCGAAGACCACTTCTTCTGGACATACACCGAAGAACCACATAGAACACGGCGACAGGCTATCATCAAAGCCCACCCAGAGGTGTGTTTAGTTCCCTTTTGCTGCTCATCAATGGGCTGGTTTCGGTATGCTGTTGTGTTGTGTGGACTGCGCGCTGACCGATGGACTTGGGCAAATGCAAACAGGTGCTGAAGCTCTGCGGCCACGAACCTCTCACCAAATATCTCGTCTTCGCCGTTGTCTCCCTCCAGATCGCATGTGCATACTTCCTACGCAATACCTCGATGCTGTCATGGCAGTTCTTTGTTACTGCGTACGTCGTGGGTGCTACTGCAAACCAGAATCTGTTCCTCGCCATACACGAAATCTCACACAACCTCGCCTTCAAATCGCCTCTGGCTAACCGGCTTCTGGCCATTGTTGCCAATCTGCCCATTGGAATACCGTACTCTGCTTCGTTTCGAGTCAGTACACTCCGCTTTGCCTCATATCTGTTTATGAACGGGGGCGCAATGCTAACAACTACCATAGCCATATCATCTCACCCACCACAAGTCCCTTGGTGTAGCTGGTCTGGATGCTGACCTTCCAACAGCCCTCGAAGCATTCTTTCTTGATTCCTTACTCGGCAAAACATTTTTCTGCACCTGCCAAATCCTGTTCTACGCCATCAGGCCCATGTTCATCTATACCCCCAAGTTCACATATATCCATCTCATCAACATCGTTGTGCAAATCTTATTTGATATTGCGCTATGTAAATTCACCAACTCCCTCCAACCGCTCTACTATCTTATCCTAAGCTCTTTCCTGGCTGGCTCACTGCACCCATGTGCCGGGCACTTCATTGCGGAACACTATTTCTTCTCTCGCATCAAGACCGGGGGCACTGAATCTCTGCTCACCCTCAGACAACAAAAGGAACAGCAGGTCAAGAGTATCGCGCCTGTTGACCCTACTATCCCACCGCCAGAAACGTACTCCTATTATGGTGCCTTGAATATCCTGACATATAACGTCGGTCTGCATAACGAGCACCATGACTTCCCAGCCGTTCCATGGTCACGGCTCCCCAAACTACACGAGATTGCAAAGGAGTATTATGAAACTCTTCCCTGTCACCGTAGCTGGGTCTGGGTGATCTGGATGTTTATCCTGGACAAGGACGTTGGCATGTGGTGTCGTGTTAAACGTGCTGAGGGGGGCAGGATTGTTGGTGGCGACAAGAAAGCTTCCAAGGCTGACAGTGGATGGACTGAAAATGAGATTCAGAATTGATTTTGACCTTTAGTGCTTTGAAGATATTGGATATTGGCTTTTCTTTCTTCACACGCTTAGATATTCGACCCTGTTAGAGATGGTCATGTTTTTTGCTTTCCCAACTCATAATCGCACCTTATACCAATATCGCACAATTAATGAAAGAGAAAGACCAGGCAAAACATGCATAGCATCATAAATGTATTGGTACTATCTGTATGTAACTGTTTTTGTCTTCGGTCTTTTTGTCTTCTGTAGTAGATTTTTTTTAACTCTATTTTCGGCCGTCGAGTTGCAGGTAGACCACATATAAAGCTGTAAAGCTGTGTAGTATCTCTCCTGCAGTAGCTGTCATGCGTCAAGTGAAATGTAGACAAGTAAAAGTGATAAGAAACCTGGTGAGCCAAAGCGAGGCGAAAAGGGGGTCCAAAAACAGGGGATGGGGGGAAAGGGAGAGAACCCAAAGACACAACAGAAAAGAGAAGACGCCAAACCAGCCTGTCCTTTGCATCCCGTTAGTTCTTCTGTGTCAGGCGCGGGAGACGCTGGTTAAGAGACCCGATTCTCGACTCAATGAAACAAGAAAATGCAGAAAAAGTGCACCAAAGATACCCCCCGTTTTGTAAGTCAGAAAAAAATGTAAGAGAATCAGAAAGCCGAATAGTCCGTAAGAAAAGTAACAATGAAGAGAGGAATAAAAAGCAGGAAATGATAAGAAAGCAAATGTCACAATTGTATCTTTCATCGTTTCATTTCATTATTCTTCCTTGGATTGTTGGCTATTGTCACGATTCGCCGTCCCCGTCGTGGCCCATCATATCTGTTTCCATCTTGCCGTCAGGAGTTTCGCCTATGCTAGGCAGTCCAGGGTCTGCTATCGGCTCTTCCCTCATGCACGCGTTCTCTAGGATATTGGTCCATTTCCCGCTCGAGCCAGCGTGAATGTGCTTCAAGTGCTGTCTAAGATGGTCGGCTCGCCAGAACTTCTTGGACTGATTGCATTCTCCAAACTTATGAACAGATGTTAGATGTTCGATTCGAACATCCCACTGCGGGGCTGGTAGGTTAGGAAACTCCATGCCGCAGAAGCCACATGTGTCATGAGTTGAAGTCGTAGAGCCAGAAGCCTGACCGTTGGAGGATGAAGATGAAGGATGAAAGGCCGATTCATAGCCTGCGAGGGATCCACAGGACCAGGAATGGTGACGGATATGAAGAGAGGCGCGGTGACGCTCTGCTTCATTTTTATTCTTGAACCGCTTGTGACAGTAGTTGCAGTTATATTGCTTTTCCATCTCATGGGCTCTACAAGGGGAGATGCATAAGGTATTAGCCTTAAAATCTATATCCAAGGGGGGAAAAAGCAAATATCTCCTCGGAACCTTGGAAAAAAAGAAAGAAAGAAAGTTCGTACCTGAGTTCCTCAAGACTGTCTAGCTTCTTTGGTTTTGTATGACAGCAGTCGCATATATATGACCGGCCGACACGCTGGGGGTTTTTCGATGAGTTTGGACACGTGTGGGATCCTTTTCGGCCTGAGCCGGCCGAAACCGAGTTCTTCTTCATATCGGCAGCTGACGTAGGTGACGGTTCCGGGTATTGTGCTGGTCGAGGCATACTCAATATCGGAGCAGATGTAGACTGCTTTTGGGCAGGACTGCTCATAAGTCCTCCCCTATCATAGTGATCCACATCAGTAGGCGAAATTCCACCTGGAGACGGCCGATCATAAGAAGACATGCTACTAGCCCCGACTGAAAGGCCAGTCGAGGAGGCGTATGATCCGGTCCGCATGCTTGCCGACGAAATGGACGATATCGAGCCATGGCTAGATTGGTATCGAGCTCCACCTGGCGATGTGCAGATTCCATTGTTAAAAGGAAACCCTGACATACGCCTATCAGCACTGCTTGTGCTAAGTGCTGCATCCTCATGTCGGGCCACCTGTGGCGGAGAAGAGGCCCTCCGCTTCATACCATGGTTCGATAGAGGAGATATACCTTCGGCATAAGATGGCATCCGTTCACCTAGACTTCGTTGACGAGTGGTTTTTGAATGCACGCTGCTCGAATGTGCTTCATCCATTGACATTTCTGTGTCTAGGTCAGGGAAGAAAGACCGGTCATGGCTCCTTCTTCCAGAATGTAAAGGCAGACTATGCGCGACCTCACCATATCTAACTGGGCCACTGCTGATTCCCCCGGCATATTTTTCTCGTGCCTGGCTGAACTGGTCCACCTCCATAGGCGAGAGGCCGCTGCTGCTCCCCTCACGTTGATTTCTGAATGCAATGTAATCCGAAAATCCGCTACCTCCGGTGCCTGGGGATATGCCTGCTGAGGGAGGGCCGCTACCCCATCGTATATCCTGTGGACTAAGAGTCTCGTCTGTGAGAGTAAGAGCAGAAAAGCTCGTTTGCACTCTGGTAGGGTCTCTCGGTGTTGTGGTAAGGCCTAGTACTGCGTTCCTCGGCGGGGATGCTGGACCACCGATTTTTGACAAGAGATTCCGGTCGTAAGCGTTGATTGAATGCTCAACACTCTTCTCTGATAGCGGTTTTTGCCTATCCCTGAGCTGTTAGTTTATTTATGCTTGGCTTTGTTGTAAGAGTATATATGTCATGAATTACCTTGTGCTAGGCAAAATCCTGGTATCAAGTGTGCGAGAGAGCGATCCAGTCTGGGAAAGGGACCTGCTTGGCCGTGTCAGAGGGCTCGTAGGGGAAAAGGCATTCCCATCACCATATGAGCCTATCAAAGGTGCCGATCGTGGACCTAGAGCAGTCTCATGTTCCGACATAGAAGCTGATCCAGGGCGCCTGGCATCAACAGCCCTTTGTTCATCCGCATCCAGGCGAAAGGTTTCGTCCCGTCTGCGCAATGGTGGTCTAGCGTGGCCTCCTCCAAAGAGGCTTGAGCCAGGATTGATTGGTGGCAGCATGGTGCCTGCAGCAGTATCTCGACTGGTAGAGGTATCTCTCGAGTCCATTTCCGTACCTGCTGGTCCAGCTGCTGCGCCTGATACTCCTGGTCCGCCTGGATGAAAGGTGTTCCCCCATCTCCAGCCTGAGTCGTGTCCGTTGGCAAGTTCTTCTATAAACCGTGGCGGCGGGAGAGGCGGCGGGGCGATTGTTTCTTGCGACCTGGGGATGGCCATTGGTCCATAGGAGGGTGAGGGAGGCGTAGAGTCTGAGTAAGAGGGCTGGGCCTGGTGTCTGCCGGTGCTGGAGCTGATGCACGAGCCAGAGCTGGCACTGTTTCTGGTGCTGCTGTAGCGGTGGCGAGCAGGAATCTGTTCTGCAGCAGAATCGGAGATGAGTATCGAAGGCGTAGAGGTCAAGCGCATGTCCATTCTTTCAACCCATGCGTACGGCCAACGACGTCTTGACTGACGCGCATCCAAAATGTCAGCCCAGACAGATGAGATAAAAAAAGAGAAAGGCGAAAAAACGGGGATATCTCAGGTACGCTGAAGTTTAGCTGTTAAGGATGCGCGTACTAACGTTGCCGCTGGGGGGCTTGCTCAGCGCTAACTATAATACCGCTGTGGGCCAGACAAGAGCTGATCATCCACCCAACCAGATCGCCCAAACACCAGGCTGACGAGCATAGATGAAGGGGAAATTGGCTCCAGGACTTGCCAGCACACACATCGCATGCGCGCGGGACATGTCGAGCGGCCACGGACGAAACCGTTCTGAGGGGCTTGGTGTGTCAGGACGGTGGGTAGTGGCCCCTGAAGCTGCATCGTCAGCTATCGAATCAACGGCCATACCTTCAGATTGGCCGGCTGCAGCCCAGGCACAACCGCTGTCCTCTCGGCGCCAGTGCAGCAAGCAGGCCGGGGTGAGGCATCCATCAACTGAGGATCCCCCTGTCGGGAGAGACGCCGGTCTCAATATCTCCCGATTCGCCCTTCGCACATACTTACGACCTCACTGATAATGCGCCCCTGCACGGGAATATTATGGTATTATTCCGCCGAGCTGATGATGAGACATTTTTAACCTGCCAGATACACCCTCCATCGTTCGCTAATACTTCAATGGCTCGCCAGTTCTTTGGCCAGACACCGCCGCCGCCGCCGCCGCCGTCGCTGTTGTTGTCTTCTTGGCTTGAGGACAATGATAGAGACGTCTTTCTACGTACTGTTATTGGCTGGCCCACCATCCAATCATATTTACTGTACTGGTATTATGTAATGGAAAATTTAGAGAAATTCACGTGATTTTATAAGCCCTAGCTCTTAATGCGTTAATAATAAGCTCAATTCGCCGCTATCATTTCATTTTCATTGGATAGCACGCCCAACCAATAGAATCAACGCTCGCCGGCAACCTCCTGGAGATGAAATTAGAAGTACTTGGGGACTCTCAATATAATGAATATCATCGTCTACTCCGTGGCCATTAGTTCTATGCTATTAATATACCGCAAAAAGTGGAGGATATCCGCGACGAGGATAGCATGTGTCTTGCTACAATAATAACTACTCCATGACCTCTTGTCCCCAGGCTGGAAAAGAAGACGTTTGTTCTTTAGGACGCAATTTCCTTCACTTTAAGGAGGCCCCAGCTATATAAGGATATGCACATTAACATGGGTACTTTTGTGTTGAGATATCACCCTCCCTCGGACTTCGAAGCCCGCGGGTGAATCCCAACCTGCAGCAATCCTGTTGTGTTACACCCTACTAAAGATTCCATGATGAATAGCATTTGTGAATGCTGCATGAGATATTCAAAATACAGAACGAATGATAATCCCCGAAGATAGCCCACTTAGAGGCAATTGTATCCTCACTCCCCATGAATTAAGCATGATATCTAATAATAACAGAGATTCCATGTAATAGCCCCCAAGCGGCCACCAATGCGATCGTGTTTGCTCCCCAGATGTCTTGGAAGACCCAGTAAAAACGATTCTGCAATAGCAGCCATGAAAATGGATTGTTAAAGCCGCAGACCTCGAGCCCAGCGCATCAAACCAAATAACTTTAGGCTTCCGAACATTAATGGCTTTTATTTTAGAGTTATAGATGTAATGCTCCAACGACCCAATAACGGCTTGTCGGTTTGTGTAGGCTTACTATCAGTGTCTTAGAAGGTAGTGATTCAAGGCGCCGCGCACTTTGCGGAAGAACAATCTATCAAGAATGGAAGCATGAGGACTTCGCACATTCCCGCCGCTTATCTCCAATCGCATGACTTAGACCAAGCTTTGTCGGCTCCACTCAGTATCAAATTCAAGATAATCAACACTCTGGGGCAGCTTTGAAGTTCAAGGTTGGACTCGCTGATAACATCTAGAGGCCCTGGGATTCAAAAGTCCATGACATCAATCAGCTTCGAGAAAAGTATTTCTATCCCCGTAGACCACTGTTCTACACTGCCTCATTTCATAGAGTCAAGGTCCTGTTTCATAGTAATATACGGTGGTTTTTATATCGCTCCCTGGCCAAGCAAGGGAGGAAAAATAATCAACGGCAAAGATAAAGATGCATAACAGCAGCTATTTACACAGTAAACATGAAAACTGCCGGGGTTCAATTCGGTCGTGAATATGGCGATGGAAGGTTGGCTCAGTGGGTATCGAGGGTGAAGTATTATCGCCGCTGTATTGCTGAGCTACAGCCTCAGTAAGACATGACTGATGATATAAATGCCTGCACCCGAACACAATGAGAGGACCAAGGTCTACGGGAGCTGCCGGGGTAGTACCTGTAGAGGTTGCGCTGGTTGCTTGAGATGGTCCACCTCCGCTGACGCTTGTCCCACTGTTATCAACAGGCACTGCCGCCATTTTTTCTCTCCGTGAAGAGGGCTCGTTCTGCGTTAGGCTGGATGTAGGAGCCGAAGAAACAGCGATCCCTTTACCTTTGTTCCTCGAAGAGACGTTTATGTCCCTCTCGTAATCCCTGTCGCTATCAGGGAATTGATTTCGTCTCCGTCTGTGTTGCTGATCCCACTCATTTTCCCAGGCATCCCATATGTATGCCCCAGTACCAGGGCCCCATACACGCCGCCTGCATACTTCACAGACCTGACCACGCGGTCTCCAACCCTTTTGTCGAAGCTTAGTGATTTCATTCACGTGTACGAATAGGTCCTTGTCAAGCATCGTATTAGCGAGGGATAGTAAGGATTCTTCGTAGGTATACGCAGAGAATATGGATCCAATCACAGTTCGAAGCTCGGACAGTGACGGGGATGCCGCTGCAGCCCGAGTGAGGAATGCACGAAGAATGCGAAGGAATGACACATCCGTCTTTTGATGTGGCGCGTGTCTGGCCTTTGTTGTGCTAGTCAGTAAGGACGTGAAAACTTGCTGAACTAGTGACCTGAAGGATGATGATAGATGGCCAGGCTGGCTAGCATCCTCGTCATCTTTGTCAGCTTCCACTTGCCAGACTTCTCTTGCTCCCTTGCTATTGTCTTCAAGCAGCCCGCGCCTTAGTAGGGGAGAAATTTGTTGAGCAATCTTCACGACAGCTTCGATAAGAACAAGCCACAAATTCTCATCATATGTCAGAGGTTGTTCAAAGACCGAGCTTCCTCTTTTATTGAATTTGCCTCCCTCATGGACCCTCCTTGCGGCCTTGCTTTGTTCTTTGCAAAGCCACGTACCGACCTGGGTATATTTTTCAACTGAGAGAATTAGGTCGGTCACAGCTTCAGCTGCATTTGCTGAGTCAGGGGTATCGTCAGCATTCTGCAGAAGGCCACATAGTCCGGCTTCTAACGTTGATAGATGCCTTGTCAGCCTTTCCATGGCATTGGTAACTTCCCCTTGTTTTGCAAGAAGAATTACTGCAGCGTCCACAATGCCGCTGTTCTCGATGTAAGGGATAACAGCTTCAAGCTGAAGATCCCCTACCTTTGTCAGATTAATAAAATCGGCAACATGGGAAGGGTTGTACTGGCACATTAATTGGAGATATTTCTCAAGAAGTTCATGGTTAACAGTATCCGCGGATCTGGTGTCTGTTCTAGGTTTCTGCTCATCTTCAATGATCGTACGCAAATATTCATATTGGCTTGCAGAGTCATTTTGAAGTGCTTGGAGGAATTTCTCGTGTAACTCGGGAGCCAATGACTGAACAGTATGCGCAGCCTCATATATATTTATTGAAGCCAAGTCCTTTGCAATCTCTTCCATTGTGGTCAGGATATCTCGGCGCTGCTTCTTATTAAGAGAAGAGCTTGGCCGTAAATAATCGCGGATGCAGACAAACACATGCTGTTGATCCTCTGGGTCTGCGATATATGTCCGTAGCAAATCTGAATACCTCTTCTCGGTTCTATATGTTGACTTCAGAATTCGGAAGAATTTTGCCTCCTTGAACAAGGGAATCAAGGCTTGGATATCAGGAGGATGATATGTCGATAACAGATATTCTGCAGACAGTTGGCAATCATCAAGCATTTCGATACTGGGATACTGACAGAGCCTAACCAGAACTTGTTGTAGGGTTGAGCCGGAGAGGAGTATATACTGTGGGTATTTGGGGAGATTTCGAGCAATAAACATGTCAAGATAGATAGTGTCACTAGAGCCGAAATCGGAAGAATTCGAGTCCATGACTTCGAGCAGGATCCTTAATAAATATTGACGGCTTATAGAAGAACCATCAGCTGATTTTGCATGCTCGCCTTTATTCCACTGATCAACTGGGTCATTGAGAAAGCTATCTTCAAATGCTTCGTTTAGCATGATCATAAAGCTTGGCGTGTCAAATTCGAGCATCATTCGAAGGCTTTGGAAAGGTGACGAATCATTGCCATGCCCATCACCACGACCAGGCTTCCCTGAAAACAAGAGTTTATAAACCTCGTTTTTAGCGGATAAAGCTTCGTTTTCTTCCAGTTCATCGCCAGTTGGGTATACGCGAGATGTAAGAATGTAAGATAGGTAGGGAAACATCCTCGATGCATTGGCATGATCCTTTGCTATTACCTCTGGATCTTTATCGGTACCTGATTCCTGGGTCTTGTGCTTGCGTACGAGATTGAGTAACTCCCGAAGAGGACTGACGTAATCGTGCAAAGCGCGGTTCCAAACGTATATGAACGCATCGTAAAGATTATGCTTTTTGCATAAACTTGTCACTTGGTCTATGTCCATCGTGTCTGTTTCTAGGAGGCAGATGATTTCTTCAAGTCGGCTGGCGGTATGTGTCGTTACGAAATGCGATATTAAGGACTTAACGGCTGTTGGTGGGAGGGCCCGCACACTGCCCTTGATGATATATGGTTCCAACGCATCCATGAAAATCCCATAGGCTTCATATTCCTCATACCAGGAGTAGACATCTTCAAATAGGAACTCATGGTTGTCCATAGCTTCGCAAGCAAATATACACGCATCAGCCAAGTCACTTAACTGTGACTTTTGAAGGCGCTCAATATCTGACTCGGCATTTTTCCCGAAGGCAAAACGGAGGGAGGCGGACATCATTTCAAGGAGTTTTTCCTGTACGACTTGGTGTCGTAATTCATCTTCTTCAGGAAGCCCGACGGTTAGTTTCTCGGAACGTCCGGTATAAAACGACGTGGCAAGTCGGATGGCCCCGATAAAATCACCACTCTCAACCAATGCTAGTAATCTATCGGCCCAGTTTGACAGACTCCCTACGCAGATATCGTTGAATCCTAGTAGAAACAGGCGGCCTTTGTATGCTCGAAAACTCATATAGAACGCATCAGCAATCACACCGTGCATGGATTGGTCTTGCTCATTATTCTCATCGTCATCATCATTGAGTTGCTCTATAAGCGTGTGGAGTTGCCTCGAAAACAGATCAACGTGATATATGTGTTTATGAATCAAGTCTGATGAATCGGTGACCCGGAGAGAGTTATCTTCCAAGATAAGGAGCTGCTGAGTAATTGTCATCACAGCGAGAACTGAACGGCTTATCCATTGCACAGCAACAATAGCTTCGTCTGCCCTCCACCTACATCGAGGCTTGAACCTGAGGTTGACAGGCCTATCCTTGTCACTGTCATCTGTTTGTTTGTTTTCATCAACATCCAAGATTGTGAGCACGTTTGACCAGCAGTACACGAGTTTCGTCTTGGATACTTCTGAGTCTTTTCCTTTAAGCTTTATAGCTGGGAACCATGCCAATGTTGCCGTCAATGCACTATGCGCAGCAAGTTCTTTGGGTCGTCCAGATTTATACTGAGTTCTAGCAACGGGTGTGGTGGAAACAATCACCAATAGATATGGTGTAAGCATCGCAACTAGCCCTAATGAGTCAGTTGGTTGGTCGACGTTTCCTAGAGGAAGTGGAGAAAATGCGAGAACGGAGCTAGGTTTCCGGACAACGGTGGACGGTAGGAGCTCGGGGTACCGGCCTAAAATACGTGTAGTTCTTACTACCCGTCCTACAGCTCCCATTCCTCTAGTTGCGAGGTGTGAGAAGGCCATTCCGTTATCATCAGCGGAGACAAGAGCGGTGTGTCTAGTCCCTAAAAATCCGATGTGAATTACGGACACACCAGTAACATGACCATCAGCTCGACGTGAGTCAAGCTGGTCCCTGGGAATTGGTGGTATATGCAGAAAGGGCCGTGCGGGTCGCGCAATTTCCCAGGTGAAAATACTTCCATCCGCATGACCTCCGGCCAGCGTTGAGTGGTCAGCAGAGATAGCTAAAGCAGTGATCGAACCCGACGAAACAGCTAGAGAGAAATCAATTAGTTGATACCAAGTACGGAGGAGAAAAAGAATATCATCTGTTTAGGCTTACCTTTTGTCCCAGGTCCAATAATAGACTTTAGATTCTGCTGATAGTCAAAGACCAGGATAACACCTTTGGTTGTCCCTAATACAATCGACGTGGACACAGCAGTGCACGTCGGCCTGCCAAAATTCCTCTTACCAACTTCAGAAAATACCTGACCAGCTATCTTCTTCAATTTTGTCCATCGAACAACTTCCCACGGCGCTGGTTCTGAATCTTCCTCGGGGAGCTCGGGGGTACTACTGTCAAAACGAAGGTGACTGGCCAGAGATGAGTTTCGAGAATGTGCAAGACTAAGTGCTGGAGAGACTGAGCGGTTGCTAGGCGGTATCGAAGAGACAGAGAGTCTAGATTGGAATCTGCGATCGAATGGGCGGTGGGGGACGGGACTTAGGTTTGAAGACGACCCGCGATGCGCAAATGCGCTGCTTCCCGGCGAGGAGACAAGTGAGTCCTATAGAGATATATCAGAGTACTGATCCTGTGCGTTTAAGCTCCGTGTAAAGTAATCAATACATACCTGAACCGATGGTGTATCGTCTGGTACGGATCCCAAATCCTCTACGCTATCATGAATTGGCTCCACTGAACGCTGCCGCGACCGTCCCTCGCCCCCATCAGATACCGAGCCTGAAGCCCCCGCTTCCGCCGCAGACATGTTGCGACCGCTTGAGACGGAACCAAGATCGTCATCATGTACCTGGCCATCTCCTTCAGGCGCAGTAGTATCTCCATCCTCCCCCGTACCAATAAGTTCACTCTCATCCTGCTCATCTATATCAGCATTAGCACCGACATCGACATCAGAGCCAGGGTCGCGCAAATCTAGCTCATCGTCTTGTGGTTCATTGTCGCTCCCTTCAATCGTAGGGCCCATCGGTTGCGCTGTGGGTTTATATGATCATCGCTTCGAAATGGGTTGTATCTTAAGCTGTGGGGAACACTCGTCCGTCTATAACAGTGGTGATTCGGACCTTCAGTATAGCTTATAGCTAGGCTTGGTATGTGATCGCATGTATAAAAGTGTGGGTGAGGAGGGATGTCGGCTCGTAAAAAGGTACGCAATGTTATGCAGGCAGCAACTGTTTCGTCGTTGCTTGGCGAGCTATATAACTCGATGTGCGTTAGCTGACAAATTCTCCGATAACTAGAAATTGATTCCCTGGCGACTTGCCGACTTATTTGATAGCTGTGCCGGGTGCGGAGGATGGGGATGTTAGAGCAATAGCGCTGTTGGTCCAGGCACGGTTTATCTATGCCCGGAGCTGGAGGTTGAAGTAAGCTCGCGATGCCAAGCCGGAGTTTCTGCACTAGCTTTGAGTCAAACGGCGGACGTCCACATGAAGCCACACCATGGGCATCAATAACCTTCAATTACATCTGTCAAGTAAATATATTATATTCTTTTGTTGGGTACAGATCACGTTCCCTTTTTTAGTCAGCATGTAAAAGAGAGAGAGAGAGAGAGTAAAAAAGAAAAGCAAGGCAAGAAAGGCGACTCCAATCCTTCATATCTGTTTCCCAATCCCTCTGAACTCGCTCGGAGTTGATCAACAAGTTTCTAAGAGTAGAATAAAAGAGAGTAAAATATAATCAAATAATTCTATCAATATTTTTTCCTTTTCAGCAAAAGAAACCCCATGATAGCCCATTATCCAGTTTCGCCATAGCCATAGTCAGAGCTAGCAAGTCACCTATTAGTATCACGGCAATAACTCTAACCGGTAACTCAGTCAATAGAAGCAATGAGAGGGAACAAAGCAGGCAAGTCGATCAGAATAAATGAATTACATAGTAGGGGTAATAAGGGGCATGAATGTTGGGAAGGCCGTTTTTGTGGTATCACATGGGAGTCGAAGGTGGTAATGTAGATAAATGGAATGGAGGAAGGAAGGAGAGAAATAGGATACATGAGATGGCCGCCTGGGACGTTTGCTCTGTCAAGCAAGTGAGAAAGTCAAGGTAAAGCAATAGGATGAATGGTATGATATGGTATGATAATGATAAAATGTTAGAACGAGAACAGCAGGTAAATGGAAAATGCATAAACGTGAACACCTGGAGCTAGACATGATAAAGAGGAAAAGGAAAATCAAATGAAAACGGGGCTGGGGGGAGGAGGTAAATTAAAGAAGTAAGTTTTTCAATGATGGACTCGCACTTGCTGCTGAACCAGATGTCGGCGCTGATTGCGGTTGCATACTGCCCATGGAACCTTGACGACCCATACTCTCTGATCGTGGTCGTGATGGAGTAGCAGTCGGGCCTGCCGTGGGCGAGGGGTCAGCTTGACTCTGAGACTGAGGTGGTTGCGGCTGGTGGGGGTCCAAACTTCTTCGTGCGGCGGAGGGAGAAGAGAGATTTGGTTTTGGTTGAACGGGCCTGTCGATAGGGAACATTCGGGGTGGATGAGAGCCCGGAAGGGGTGTGCGTGAAGGAGGTGGTGGCGGGGAGAAGTGCATGGGGCCAGGGCCAGGAGCGGGGCCTGGGCCTGTGCCAGGTGTAGACGGGCCTGGACCCGGGCCAGGGTATGGTGTGTTTGCGCCGGATGGGTGGGGCGCAATTGGCCCATAGGGGTATTGGTGTGGCGGTGGAAGGGATGGTGGAGGAGGCGGAGGACCACCATTCGCGAAGGGCGGTGGATGATGTGCGTGTTGATGGTGCGGATGCTGATGGTGTTGATGCTGATGATGCGGGTGCGGGTGCGGATGCGGATGTTGTTGGTGATGTGGATGAGGATGTGGTAAGGCTGGGGGCGGAGGGGGAGGATACCCGTTCATTCTACCCTGAGCATGTGGCGGGGGAGGAGGGCCCTGATGGAATGGAGGTGGTGGGGGTGGAGGAGGACCAAGCTGCACACCATTAGGAGCAGGGGATATTCCTTTACGATGTAAATATTCTGCCGGTGGTCGCTGTTCATATTCCGGCCCTGGAGCAGGAGCAGGTCCAGGTCCAGGTCGCCATTCAGGAGCTCCGTGGGGGTGCGTCAGGGGCGCAAGAGGGGGAACATGGCTAGGGCCATGCGCTTGAACAGGTTGAGCGTGAGGAGAAGAAGCATAGCCATTCCTATGAAGCTCAGGGAGACGAGCTTGGCCCATTTCACGATCACGGTCAGGCGGGCCATAAGAGACTGGTGGCAGTGGTGCAAGCACAGGCGTGAGGGTAGGTGGAGTGTGGTGTTTCTTGAGATGGCATTTATGACACTCGTACACGATGCGCTCGGGTATATCGCCATTTGTATCATTGGTGTGGTGCATCGAGGAAGGCCATCTGATCAGATCCAGTGGTCCTAGACCATTGACGGGCTGCTGTTGATGCGGTGGTTGATGCGGTTGCGCGCGGCGCCACCACTTCGGGCTAGCAACAGACTGGCATCTGAAGCATTTCTTCGGAATGTCGTCCTTCCCCTGCCCGGTACTGCCCTGCTCGACGTCCCCTGTACCATTAACTTCATCATGCTGGTGTTGCCCCTGTCCTGGACTCGCCGTCGTCGCTGTACTTGGTCCCACACCGTTCGTCATCGCAGCCGCAGCCGCACGCTTACCAGCAGCAGATGGCGAGGAGTGCTGGACATATGCCGCCTTCCTCGCTGTCCCCGTAAGCGTAAGATCAGCCTGCTTGAACGTCCTAGCATATATTTGCAGGGCATTCCCTTCCGTCGAACCCTTCGATTCACCCATCTCATGAACTATGGTCTGCACATTATGGTGCGGACACCATATCGCTGGTGCAACAACACCCGTTTCTTCGCCCATGGTCGCAGTTGAAACAACGTCTTTCCTACTACTCTTCACCGGTGTGATGTCGAACCCCATGTTATATCCTGCCTGATGAGCACATCCAACATGAAACCGCGCGTTACACGTTGAAGCCCGACACGAGACACAAGCGCCATTTTCCGTTTTGCATATCTTGCATCGGTCCTTGAAGCTTTCCTGCGGTATCGACTCAATACCCTCTGCGGGCTCAAGGTCTTTGGCACTGCCGAATTTGATTTCGGGAAACCATATGGCGCAGGTGACATGTACCCAATTGTTACCTGCGGTGCGCTTAAGAGGTTCTCGGGGTCCCACTGGTTTACCTGCTGCTTCTTGACGTTGGCGATAGAGCTTGATAGCTTCGTTGACCATCTCGCGCTCCAGGCGCTCCTTTTCACGTTCTCGTTCGGATTTTTTCTTGTGAGTTGTTTTGGGCGGTTCCATGAGTTCGTGCTCCGTCTCGGTGACGGGACAGATAACGCATTCGTATGATGTGGAAACAGTCGGGTTCCGGTCATTGGAGCACATGTCGCATATCCATTTTGCTGCTGGGCGAGAAGCATCGATTCCATAGCAGTCCCTGTGGACGGTGAGGCGGCAGTCTCGGCAGGATAGATGCTGGTCGCCCATGGGATCCATCTTTTTGCACACAGCACAGGGCAGGACTTTGGGTCGAGGTGGTTCTGGTGCCAGTGGCGGAGGAGCTTCCTGCACAGCCTTCTCAGCTGCCCTCTTCCTGGATGACGTTTGCTGCTGCTGCTGCTGTTGTTGGGGCGGCGGAGGAGCAGGCGGAGGGGCATCAGCCATGACGGCGTTGGCAGCGTTTGCATCTTTATCAGCTGTCTTGGTCTTCTTCTTGGCTGGCTGCTGATGTTGATGATGTTGGTTTTGTTGTTGTTGGGGTTCGGGTGGATTGCTTGCGGTTTCCTTGACCACTTCTGTAGTAACGTGTACTCCGATCGAAGCTGCTATAGTGGCGGTGGTCTGGTTGATCCTCACATCCGACTCGGAGGTGGTAAGGAGCTGAGACAATAATCCCTCATCATACTTTCGACGCCACGACTTATTCCCACCCTGCGAGATGCGCTTCGCGATCTCATCAGGGTCTTCCCAATGAATTCCATACTTTCGCCAAAGAACGGCGCAACGCTGACAGAGGGAGACGGTCAGCCGGTTGCCCTTTTCGCGCTTCCCAGACTGTTCGGCCGGCACGGTAAAGCCAGGTGGAACGGCGGGAGCTCGTCTCCAGCGCTTAGAAGAACGGGTATTGCAGAATTTACAGGTGAACCCTCTGCGTTTCTCCATGGCCTTGTCATTGTCGAACGCAGAGTCGTCGTAGTCGTCGGCAACATCGTCTAGCAGCTTTGCGGCACTGTCAGCCTTCTTGGCAAGTTTCTTACCCTTTCTGTCCTCGTAGTTGCCCCAGATCTGGCGTCCCTTGGGGGTCTTCTTCCACATATAGTAGAACCGCACGATGTGACGGTGCTTGACGGTGCCGACATGTTTGGTGATACTCCGCAGCTCAGAGCCGTACTTGGCTACTCCAGCCTCGAACAGCTTGACCTCTTCGGGTTTGAGGTATGGCTCCTTCAGGTCGTTGTATCTATGCAGTGCTTTGAGCCGGGCAAGAGCAGGCTCGACATTAAAGTTCTCTTCGTACAGCAGTGCCAGGGCTTTGTCGAGGTAGTTTGTGGAGTAGTCCGGGATCCCTTTAGAAGTGGCCACTTCCTTGGCCTTGTCCATATATTCGTCGATGAATTTTTCCCTCTCTTCGACGGAGAGATGTGAGCCTGGCGCATCATCTTCTCCCCTGGCGGACGACAGCTGTGAAGCATCTGGCATCTTAAACTGGAGTTCGGCTGTATGAAACTTCTTCCCGTCCACGGTGATGGGCTCGTCCTCGCCACGGGCGATATAACCAGGGGGCACCTCCTGTACCCACTTTGGGCGCGACGCCCGCTCGGCACGGTCTGCCTCCTGTGCGGCCAGGGCTTCCTTGGACAACTTGACCTCCTTCTTGGGCCCCGACCGGACGTACTTTCTCTTTGTCTCCGCGGGTTTGAAGTACTCAACCGGGTGGCCATACCAAGGCACGACGTTGGCCTGATGTCGGCTGCCCAACCGAGAACTGGCACGGGGGTAAATGCGATCGTCGTAGTCAAGCGCATCCTCCACGCGGCAATGGATGCCCAGATAGCGAAACTGCCATAGTTTGGCCTGGGAGATCTGCTCTGCTGTCGCCGGCTTGAGCGCATGTTGCTGCTGTTGTTGTTGTTGCTGCTGTTGTTGTTGTTGCTGCTGCTGCTCATTTGCCGGGCTGCTCCGCTGGGTCGCAGCTGCTGTGTCTGCATCGGCAGCGGGCTGCTCCTCTTCTTCCTCTTCGACTAACTCGGGCTCTGTGTCATTGTTTGTGCGCGACTCGCCCACCATGGGCGTGTTCCTGGCCTCGAGCTTCTTTTCCTGAGCTCTGCTGCACGGGCCACACGCCCAAGCGAATCCTCTGGCTGGCTTCTTCTGCAACACAGGCCGGACACACAGCATGTGGTATGTGTTATGGCACACCGCGCAGTCCACCGAATCATTACTACACACGTTAGTATACATAATACAATGGTATATGGAAGAAGAGAGACCTACTTTGCAGCGTATTGTTGGCACTTTTTGCATGTCTTGACTGCACTGGTAAGCTCCTTTCTGCGGCCAATCTCGACCAAGACGTACTTCCATCGCTCGTCGAGAACCTGCTTGACATGCTGGGGCACATTGATGACATGGCTGGTGGGAATAACATCATAGTACCGGTGGATGTAGCGGTCGTACATGCGCTCGAACCAGAAGCAGTCCTTTGCCTTCATGTACTGGTCCCAGTTTGCGATTTCGGTGCGGTGCTTGATGGTACATTTGCCGCGTAGCGACGTGAGTGGACAGGCGTCTGAGTGCATGGAGGCAAAGACGACTCGGAGGTCGTTGGTCTTGCGCTGGATGTCACGCGGCCGGTAGTACCAGTTTACGCGGACACTCTCAATGGGGCCTGATGGGTTGTCCTTTGATGGGAGAAACTCCATGATCCGCGCGAGGTAGTACGGCTCTCCTGGGGGCTCACATATCAAATATACGTGGTCTATGTCTGCGTTAGTACATGCATGAAAAAGATAATATATAATATATATATAAATGCGAGGGGAAAAAAAAAAAAATTAAAATAAAATAAACGTAATAGACGTTACCATTTGGGGCGAGGAGGGTGCCGTCGTCTGCCTTTAGCTTGCCGTTTCTGAGCATGGCTCGAGAGGAGCGAAAGGTCATCATAGAAGTGGTGACGGCCTCTTCTGAATTGCGCGAACCAGCGGCAATGAAGCGCTTGTTGGGGTGTCCGCCCCCGTTGGCCGGGACGACATTCTGCACGGTGGTGCTGGATCCGGGCTGCTTCCGCTTCTTCGACGAGACGACAACGGTGTTTGGGTTCGCGGAGAAAGTCGATGTGCCAGGAATGGCCGAAGTAGAGGCGGTGGTCGTGGTGGTCGTGGTGGTGCTGGCGGTGCTGGCGGCGGCCGCATGGCCATGGCTATCGGAGTTTTTGTCTCTGGCTGCGGCAGTCCCATTGCTAGCTGCGGCGGCGGCAGCTCTGCGCGTGCTCATGCCGGGCGGTCTCTCGCTGTTGGAGGCCGGCGAGGCGATACGTGTGTTGCTGGAGGAGGAAGAAGTCGTCTGGGCCGCGGCGTCCCTGTCCTTTGGCTTGCGGCCCGGGGTGCCCTTGGCCGTGGAGTTGGAAGTAGCACCAGCACCAGCACCGGCCGACGCAGAAGCAGAGACCGGGGCCGGTGGCTGCTCGAGCTCAGCATCCAGCTCTGTGTCTTCGGCATAGTTGATACGGGGCCTGTTTCGCGAGCGAGTGCTGTAGGGAGCGGGAGCGGGAGCAGGTGTGGTGGCACTGGACGCGGTCTCTGAAGAAACGGCCTCGCCCACGTCTCCTCTGTCCCTGTCCTTGGACCTGTCTGCTGCAGCTGCGGCCATGGCTGTAGTGTTAGTTGCAGTAGCAGCAGCAGCAGCAGCAGAAGTAGTAGAAGAAGTAGTAGAAGAAGTAGCAGGAGGAGCCGCAGTCGTGGTGGTGCTGGTATCTCGATCTCGTCCGCGGTGCTGGGCAGCAGCAGCCGCCATGGGATTTCCTGCAAGTTAGATAACTAGTCAAGACGGCGAGACGGAGGAGCAGCCTCAGGCGCAACCTATGGCCGTGAGGGATGCATCCACCGTGGGCAGTAGACGCAGACAGGCAGAGCAAGCACGCAAGGGAGAGGAGGAGGAGGAGGAGGTAGAGGTGTAGCAAAGCAGGGAGAAGAGAGGAAGAGTAGATGCAGAGAGCAGGAGGAGGAGGAAGAGAAAGCGAGATTCTTTTGGTGTGTCTTGTGTCTTGTCTGGGCCTAAACTAAACTTAAGGCGGATTTTCGCTGGGTCTTGGGGGGGTTCGGGGGGCAGATGGGATGGCCCATGGAGCGGGCTTCGTTTCTTTTCTTCTTCCTGCAGAAATAACTTACTGACTACCAGCAGACAGACAGACAGGCAGCCAGACAGTCAGTCAGTCAGTCAGAGAGCAGAGAGGCGGAAGATAGACAGGGGAGTCAAGGACGGGCAGCAGCGCAGAGGGCCAGGAGACGCCAAGTAGTAACACAGGAGACTCTCTCTCTCTCTCTCTATACTCTTGCTGTTAGTTGCTCTTACGGAGTACTATCTGCTGCTTCTTCTTCTCTTCTCTGACTACTACTAACTCCTCTGTTGCTCTCTCTTGGTTACGGAGGATTTCTCTACCATGTATATATAGCCCCCGTCAGCGTCCTTTGCGTCTCCTCCTACAATCGAGTACTCCGTATATCAACTCCCAAAAGGGCCACCTGCTGCCGTCCATTGACCAGTAGCAAACCCCCGTCCCCGAATAACTCACGACGGGGGGCAGCCAGGACGGCGAGGACGGCCAGGGCCGCGGTGCTGCGTCTGCTTGCCCCAGATATGCAACTAACTGCGGCACTCCATAGTCGACGGCGGGCTGACTGGCTGACCAGCTACTCTGCTAGCTCCCAGCCAACTCCTTTCATGCTTTCATCCGGTTCATCCGCTGGTCCCTTCCCTCCTCCTGATAAAACCATGATCTGAGTCCAAGTTAACTAGTTAGCCCTTTCGTCTGCGTCTTGGTCTTCCTCTCTGCTGCTCTCTCCGTCTTTTTTTCTCGTCATCATCGACTCGTCTCGCCACTCACGTCGCTGCGTTTTTTGCTTATTCTGCCTTTTTTTTTTCTCCCTCTTCTTTTCTTCTTTCGTCATTGCTTTTTCTTAGTCTTCCTTTCGCTGGTAAGTTCAACTGGCCGGTTAGAAAGTTACCACCAGTCGGACTGCACCTTGTCCATCCAGTATTATTTTATTGGCTCTGCTGCACCGCAAGCGAAGAGAGAACAGCAGACATCGCAGGAGCAGCAGGGCCAGTACGGAAGTACACACAGTAAATATACAGCACCGCCGTTCGTCTCTTCTCTTCTCTCCTCTTCTTCTCGCCGTCTCTGTCCTTCACGGTCATCCTCGCCGTCGCCAACTTTCTTATATCAAATTCGACGTCGTCTCCGTCCTTTCCCTTTTTGGTAGTCTTGACATGCTGCGTTAAGGCTTATGTAATGATCTGCTTGCCGCTTTAAGCCAACCTTCGAACGACTTCAAAGAAAAAAAGACGAAGAAGAAGAAGAAGACGAAGACGAAGAAGACGAAGAAGACGAAGAAGACGACAAGGAAAGACGATAGAAGACAAGACGCAGGATGGAAGACGAAGACAGGTTGATGCTCAGGACGGCATGGCTTCCTTCTTCTTGCTGCCCTTCTGCGCTCCCTACAGCTTACTTCGCCCTGACTTAAGAGCCCGCCTGCTAACGATCCCCCCCACAGCCTCAAACCACCATCTCCACCTCCGCCAGACAGTGACAAGAAGTTAGAAGTAACAGAGAAGAGCAGACCCAGAGCCAGAGACAGTCGCCATGCTGCCGCCTCTGACCGTCGAGCAGATAGCTCGGCAGGCCGGTCAGTACGAGTTCGATCCCCAGGTGCCTCTTCGCTACTGGCTTCGCTCCGCCGGCTTGCTTGTCAAAGAGGTAGGCAGCCCTCCTCCCGCCCCCTCGCGTCATCAACCTATTCCACCTGCCACCGCCTCTGACATTGTTTACAACAGGCTCGAATATACGAACAAGAAGGCAACGACCAGCAGGCCTACCTCCTTCTCTTCAGACATGCCCAGCTCGTCCTCATCAACCTCACTGCCCACCCCGACGCCCGAGACCCAAAGAACAAACAAGGGCTGGCCGCCGCAAAGAAGGAAGTCCAGGCTTCACTCAACAAGCTGGAGATACTCAAACCTCGGATCCGCAGGCTACACGACCGGTACCAGGAGCTCCAGCAGCGCAGTCAAGCTGAGAACCATGCTGCGGCCACTACCACTGCATCTACAATGGAGGATCACACCGCAACCACCTTCTCCGATCTAGATGCTACCATTCAAAGCGCAACCACAGTGCAAGACCCAGCGCTGGCAGGCCGACCAGAGGCACTGCAGGCTGCTGAAAACAGAGACTTTGCCGTCAGACTGGCCCAGAGCGAGTTCAGGCGCAGGGCCTTTGCGCGTGGAGATGCCAGGCGGCCGTCATACGCCAGCTCGGAGGCCAGTGTTAGTACCGCCAACACCGCCAACACTACCAATACTGCCAAGATGGAAGGAGATGTACTCGCAAGGAGACTGCAGGAGGTTAGATCCATGCTTAGCAGCGGCCTATCAAAGTCTAATACTACTTCTTCTTCCTCTCCTACCTCGAGATCGCCCACTCTCATGCCTATAGAGCAGCATCTCTCCGGATACAGATACCCTTCTATCCCAAGACAGAGCTGCCAACACCATCATACCGGCTCCCACTCTCCTATCCGGCCCCCAAAGATCGAACAGGCACCACCAGTCCCAGGAAAGACACCAACCATACCCGCTAAGATACCCGACCCAGACATCACCTCCTCCTCCACCGCTGCGTCAACTACCTCTCTTCTTCCCCCACTACCAAGCAAAGTGCCTCCCTTACCTCCTAGGGCAGGCTCAGTGACTCCTTCGCCCTCACACACCCCTACCCACTCACGCTCCAACACCCGCACCCTTCTCTCTTCTCCTCCAAAGCTACCTTCCAAGCAACCTCCTACCCCAGACACAGAGAAGGACATCCTCCACCCCTCAACATTCACCTTCAAGCCATCCTCCTACCTCGAAAATGGTACTCCTCTCCGCACAATCTTCATCTCTCCTGATCTACGTACCCAATTCCTCTCCCTCGCCGCCCCCAACACTGCCGCTAACCTAGAGACATGCGGCATCCTAGCGGGCACCCTCATATCAAACGCATTTTTTATTTCGCGGCTTATTATCCCAGAGCAAGAATCTACCCCAGATACATGCGAAATGCTCAATGAGGCTGCTATATTCGAGTACTGCGAGGCAGAAGATCTCATGGTTTTAGGCTGGATCCACACTCACCCGACACAAACTTGTTTCATGAGCTCAAGAGACCTGCATACCCAGTCCGGCTATCAAGTAATGCTGTCAGAGAGTATCGCCATTGTCTGTGCACCCAGCCACGAGCCGAGCTGGGGTGTTTTTCGATTGACGGACCCCCCGGGCCTGAAATCAGTGTTGAACTGTACTCGACCTGGCTTGTTCCACCCCCACGACGAGACAAATATATATACCGACGCCCTGCGGCCAGGACATGTGTTTGAAGCAAAAGGTCTAGATTTTGAGACTGTTGACTTACGACCATCGACATCGTCACAGAAATGATTCTTTCTTTTTCTTTTCATATCTCAATTCCTTACTTCATTATGCATGTATTCATTAATTAATAATAATAGACCTTGCTTTCACAGCTTTCAACAAAAAACCCATACCAAGTCTATGCCTTGACCGCCCCTTGCCTCCCTGCTATAACACCTTTCAATGCATAATCTACAAGACATGATGATCCAGAGCCAGCCTAATTAGCAAGACTAGTCACGCCCGTCTTCTCCAGGATCTCTGTCAGCTTCATTCCGCGCTTATCCCCCAGTATACGGCCCCACACATGGTCCTCAACCGTATCCTCATCCTCCAACACGCTCCAGTTCGGACTAGGCTCGGGCTTCAACCAATTGAAATCTTCTACAAGAGACCATTTATCCGCTTGCTTTCCGTTCTGGGCAGACTATCGCCATTAGCACACATAACCAACCAAAACATACACCCAACCCAACATAAATAGGAAGCAGAAAGTAGAATGTAGAGGAAAAGCATAACGCACCGAGCCGGAAGTACTCACGAACGCTTCTGGGAGCGGACTAAACTTGATATCCACACATCCCTCTATAATCGGGTTTGTGGTACAGCTCAAGTAAACAACTACGTTATTGCAATCGTGCATTCGGAATTGATGGCATGTGACCACCACCACCGAGTCAATAACGTCGCTAATGAACGCTGGCCCGTCGACCTTGCCAAATATTGCTAGACTATCACAAGAGTCGCGGAATATACAGGTGGAAAACGATCGGCCCAGCTCGGGGATCGACGACATATCGATGACAGATTTCTGGACACTGCTTACCGAGAGGGATGCGTTCCGCAGAGGGGCCGAGCCAGGTAAGGTGGCATGTGAGTTTTCGATATCGCTGAATGATATCACTTGTGCAGCTGGCAGTTGTGATTCAGATCGTTGTGGTTGGAGCTGCTCTTTCTCCTCCTGCTGCTGCTCCTGTTCCTTTACTGTTTGCTCCCCCTGTTGTGTTTCTTTCTTTCCTTCGTCCACTGCCGTCAATGGTTTAGGTTCCATATTGTCAGTAACCTTTTCGTGACTGACCAAGGCAACGCGTGTAGTTGGTTCCGGACTTGGGTTCAGAGCCGTTGTTTGAGGCGTTTCGGGGGTATCTTGCATCACTTCGTCAGTTGTGTTCTGGACAGGAGTGGGTTGGCGAGACCGCTTGAACGCGAATCGTTTGCGCGGAGCAATTGCCTCCTTTGCATCAGCGAATTTCTCCTGAAGCGCCTTTATAGCCTGTTACACCGTGAATACATCCTGAGTATTAGCTCTCACACGATGAAGATATTTGTATTAACGGGTTGGTTCCTAGTAACATACCGAGGCGTATGCCCGCTGATCGTAACTGGGTATATAAGTGGATGCATCTTTGACTTCATCTGACAACCGTGAAATGTCCGCCAAACAATAATCAGCAGCACTGGCTTGTTCACCCCCTGCTGCAGGCGTGGTGTGAAGCTTGGTAATTCTTTCTTCTACCTCTGTACAAATAGAAAGTTTAGTTCACTGATGGGCAAATACCAAGAAATCAATGGCGTCTAGTTTGACGTACTAGTCACTTCCTCCTGGAAATACCTGAAGAATTTGTCGTTTGTGGATTGCGCCTGTTGGTGGTCAGCGGCGTCTCCGCCGGCGTCCTGGACAAGGCATTCCTCTTCTGTATCCTTTGATAGCATTGCTGATGGTATCTATAATACTGTTGGATATATCCAATGGGTTTACACGCGTGGATCGTGCGCACGGATTGTGTGTTATTGTGAGGGCGAGCCAAGGGGCAACAGCTGGTATATGGGCGAAAAAATTTGACTCCGAGTAACTACGTCATAGGCCAAATCGCGGTCCTATTCAACACCGAAGCTAGTATGCAGTGACCGTAAACCCCTTTGAGAGGCGTTTATTCATAGGAAAATATTGTGCTTTGGGTATCGGTAGTGAACTGTAGTCGGAAATGCTCAGGGGTCGAGGTTGCTCACAGCTCTGGCAAAAGGAAAGACTTCGACGTTTCTTTCTGCGCAAGAGCCCCACTTTGGGTGGTGACGCAGGGGCCAGGCAGACAGCGTCTAAATAAGGTTATTACTAAGCACGCTTTGTTTTTCTCGTTTGGTTTGACTTCATCTAAGTAAGGACAGAGTACGTCGAGGGGGATAGGAGCAAGAGGCAGTAATGCCAGTAGAATATATTATCGTGAATATCAAGACAAACGCGTCTGTTCTACAGAGCTATGTGTACATCCTCAAAACAGACCTTAGCGCCCATTCACCGTACAATTTATAAAACAAGGTTCAAGATATCAAACGACTGACCGAAACGAGAGGACTCCAGGGTATCATGATGCAACAAAGGAAAATGTCTATAACGAGCAGTATGTGATCAGAGATGGAATGAAAACAAATGACTGAAAGCAAATGAATCCGGCTGGAAAAGCAGGGGAAGATGTGTGACGTATGTATAAATGGGAAATTATTAAACAGGATATATGAGACAAGAGGATATTGAAAGAAGAGAAAATGTAGTGTCTCCTACTCCTCGAGTAAGGATTCCTGTAGCAGGTCGTGATTGAGGTTTTCTGGATGAAGTGACACTGGCGCGGGGGGAGGAGGGCGTAGGCCAAGTATAGGGCCGTTCTGGTTAACGCCTGGCGGTCTTGGCACCAAGGACCCTACTGTCAGTGAAGAAGCGGTGCTGCCTGGTTCATCCACCGTGTTTGTGGACCACTTTTCTCGAACCCAGCTGCCCATGCGCTTTCTAATGCCAATAGTTCGAGCAGATGCTCCGGTCTTTGAGGGTACGGTAGACTCTGACGATGCCGAAATGGTGGAAGCCGCATCGCTGTGGATTTGGGAGGCACTGTCAGATACAGCACGGAGATTTCCTCTCGTATTAGAGGATACCACAGAAGAAAGTAAAGAAACCGACGTTTGCTCCCCAGTCAAAGATGCTTTGGGTACAATCGCATTTGTCTTTGATATTATTGGCGAGGGAGATGGCAACATGATGCTGGTATTCGAGACGCGCTTTGGAGGTCTTGGGAAGAAACTTGGATTGCCTCGTAAGGCTAAAGCGGGGTGTTTGCTTGTCGTATGTAAATCCATGCCAGAGACGGACAAAAGACTCTCATGGGAATTAGAACGATGAAGTTGACAAGAAATTTTGGGTGACTGAATCGGGGTACTGTTATTGAATTCCAGAGCATCACCAAGCGGATGAATAGATGAGTTAAGGTCGCGCGTCACTTCATCACCGGGTCCACTAGATGAATCATTGCACCTCGACGAGCCAATGCCTTCGCCGTCAAGCTCTTGTTGCGGGTTATGTCCTTTCTCAACAGTACTGTTTTCTGCTCCATTGCACTCGACCGGTTGGTTCACATCGTTGTCAGGCCGTGTACCAGCTAGCCCTTCAACTGAGAGCAGAGACGATTCAGCCTTATCTAGCTCATCATTTTCATTAATAGAGCGGAAAGAGGCATCTGAAAGTCGCGGACGATGGCTCTGTTTGTTGTATCGGGGAGGCGAAAATATTACGCTCTCTGGACTAGTGGGACGCGACGATTCAAAGCCCGAATCGTGGCGGTCAAAGATAGACGACGATCTATACCCGGAAAGCGGTGAGCTGGGTATTGAGGACAGGGCAGACCCTGCTCCTGGTAGTGAAGATGAAGCCTGGGAAAATGCGCTAGCAACGGATGATGCTGAGTTGGTAGGCCTGTGCATGGCCTGTGACATTGGGATTGCCCGAGAAGGATTTTCGTGGAGAGTTGGGGGTAAGACGGGACGTCTTTTCCGTTGACGCCGGTGTATGGGAGTAGATTTTTCCTTTCTCGATGGCGTTGAGATTGGATTGTGGAAATGATGGTGAACATGAATTTCCTGTGGCATTTGATCCGGTAGCTTGTCTTCATCAAGTTCCTCGCTGAGGGAAACAAGATTGCCGTATGTATGCTCTTCACTCGGGACGGGGTCAAGAGGCTGGTGAAGTAGAAGTTGCTCGCGTAAATATTTGACGTCCTCATTGGAATTATGAAGCATCTCCTTCAACTCAGTAACACATTGTTGGAGACTTGCATTGTCCTTCAATATGTCCCGTACAAAATGAGAGACCACATTCGTCCCGGTTCCGTTCCGCGATAGCGAAGCAGTAGCCGCGGCACCTTTGATCCGGCCGGCAGCCGTATCCAGCTCTCTTTCCACCATGCGTCTTCTTTCTAGCCTTCCGATAAGCTCGACATGTCGCTCACGCTCTTTTCGGGCTTCCCTTTCTATCCGATCTACTTGATCATGCAGATCCCCGAGCGCACACTCAGCTTTCCTCCATCTTTGGATTGCCACACTCTCGCTTTCTTGGGTCAGGATGAGAGTATCCTCCAGCTTGGCCTGCTCGTTCTCAAGCTGAAGTAGTTGTTCCTCCAACTGCTCAACACGTTTGGTGGAAGATGATAATCGTCTGACTTCCAACTGGGTACTCTGCAACGTAGTGGTCAAGGTTCTAACCTGCGCATCCGACTCTATCAGCAGCTGGTTCAACTTTTCCAGCTGGTCGAGCAGGCCACGGTTCTCTTCCACAATCCGCGCATTTTCGGCTTCGGTCTCTTTCTTGCTCGTTTGCAGTTTCTCCATCTCCGCGGTCATCCGGTCCCGAGTGCTCTCAGCTTCGATTTTGTAGGATTCATGACGGTCAAGTAGGGCCTATATACAACCGAAGACGGGAGGAAATGTTAGCAGGGATGCAATATATCTAAATATTCAGACGTCAGAGGAGCGTAGGGTTGATATATATTGTAAGTGGCCAAAAATGATTCGTCCAACATGGGCCAACAAGGCAGCCTGCATGCGTACCTGACCAAGCCGTGCAGCAGTTTCCACATCCCGTTCCAACTCAGCCAGAGCAGCTGAATTATGCTCAAGATACGCACAGTCACCCCTCCCACAACAACATTCTAATTTCGACGCAGGCATCTTGGAACGCGGGAGCGTTCATGAAAATCAGGCAAGGCTCTTCGTATCAGGGGCGAAGCTGAGGTCTCGGCCTACCAGCATTTCGCGAGGGAGCTAGCCGTCCGGTGGAGAAGCCCGAAGGAGACTCGATACAACCAGAGTAGAGGCGAGATTCCGGTTCTCTCTCTTCCCCAGAGTCACTAGTCGAGGGTGTTGTCGGTGATTCTTGCTTCCACGTCCACGCTGGTCGACTTTCTTCGATCTTGCGGGCGGATGATGAAATGGTGTCAGGTGCAAGCCAATAATGGGAATAATAGTGGTGGCGGGGGAAAGGCCCTCGGGACAACGCGTAAACGACCAGTAAGGGCGTCGAGCTTCGTGTCGATGTGCCAGGCAAAAAGGAGGCTAAGGGATCTGCGTCAATAATAGTGAAGTCGCTATAACTATCATCAGCTCCGTCAAAGGCTCTTCTTACATGTGCTGCGTCTCATCGGCCATCCCTGTCTGGCCCAGAGAGCGTGCTCGTGGGCCGACGATTTACGGTTACAGCGTGCTACGTTCATTGATGCTCACTCAACATTAGAGCTAAATCAAGCAGATACCAATATTTAGTATGTGATATGCGCATTCCACCATTGTCTGTGACGGTATGAGCGATGTCTCCGCCTCGTATTACTATATCTTTTTGGTTACTCAATCAGGGTTGGAAAAAACCGAGTCTCATATGTAGCCGTGACTTGAATGTGAGAGAGCATACGGAGTGTTTTTCCCTGCGTTAGCAAGCTCGTCGTATATCCCAGGGGAAAAAGAGTAGTCGGGACGTATACATGTGTACCCAGTGCCGGATGACCATTGAACAGCAGTCGTAAATGTGACAGAGGCTGGATCTCTTATTCTATGAATACAATGTCTAAGTGGAGATTAGATATCAGTTGGGAGTCGGTATCCCAATATCATTGTGGTATGAGTGATCGTTGATAGCACAGGGCCGGAAACTATGTCAATCGCGCGCCAGTGTGGTTCCTTCGAGTCCGTTGGGAACGAGCGCAGAGAGTGAGTCAATGCTCTTGCCTGTCAACTCGACTAGTTATCGATCCATGTGAGATGAGCGGGCGTTGTGGAACAGAGACCAGCTCGAAGGACTGAGAAGATCCAGCATGTTATTTATTCTCACATCCTGTTGTATCTCGCAATGTAGCCGGGAGGAGTGATCCGGAGAGGATCTATGTCACTAGAATCCTATGTCTGCTGGTTTGCGCCCTTATTTCCGGTTATATTAAGCGGCGGAACACTGTCTGAGACGCTTTGAATCTTCTTATACTCCTCCTCAAGGCGTCTCTGCATCTCGAAATCAGCCTGTCGTTCTCGTTTGATTCGCTGCTGCTCCATATCTCGCTCAACCCCGGCATGCATTGCCTATCGGAGAGAACATTAGCCGCTTCCTCAGCCTTCAAGACAGCAGAGACCAGTCTCCGTCCTCCTTACCAATCGTTCTGATTCTTGTGACCAATGAACAAAGTAGACAATGCCCGCGGTCACAAGGGAGGTGACTCCAAGGGTGACCTTCGAAGCTCGAGACATGGTTCCTCTTCTTGTCCGGAGCCCCGTAACAGTGGAGGGAGCCCAAAGGAAGCTGGAGGCTTTAAGGCGGAGCTCGTTGAAGGGGCAAAGGAGCTTGCTCTGTCGTCACTGCACTCGACGTAAACTTGCAGACAGCAGCAGCTCGGGTTTTTCGTCCAGGAACCCTTGAAGCAGTCACGTGGGCTGTCAGCTAGTGTTGGCCCGGGCGCTAGTTAGAGGGTGGTTTTAAAGCGGGAAGGGCGAGCCCCGTCATCAATAATGACGGCACTCCAGGACCATTCCACCCCAGCAAGACAGACCGACGAGACACAACATGGTAAGAGAACTCGCTAGTAGACGTTCCTGAGAACCAAAAAACGGAAGCTGACAATGGATGCTGTAGGCTGCACAAAACTCCGCCGGAATCCAGACCCTCCTCGATGTATGATTGCCTGCCCGCCATACACACCGGAAACATCACTAGCTAACATGAGATGGATAGGCGGAAAGGGAAGCTCAGAAGATAGTTCAGACTGGTATGTCTTCCACTATGGCTGTCGACCCTGCATGTAACTCTCACTAACTTGTCCTCTAGCTAGAGAATGTCAGTTAACCCTTCGTCATACCTCATCTCGTAATCTGCAATAGGCTCCCTAACTTCCTCTCCCCTTAGACCGCACGAAGCGCATAAAGGACGCCAAGACAGAAGCGCAGAAGGAGATTGAAGACTACAAGAAACAAAAGGAAGAGGAATTCCGAAAATTCGAAGCTGAGGTAAATACTCTCGTCTCTGGAGTGGTAGACGATGAGGCGAAGAGACGAGCGGACTATGCTGACACTATCTCTGTTTCTCTCTAGCACTCGAGCGGAAACCAGAAAGCCGAAAGTGACGCAAACAAAGATGCAGAAGCCCAGCTCCTTGAAATCAAGAAATCCGGGAAAGATAAGGGCAACAAGGTCGTCGAAGATCTCATCAAGACTGTCCTAGATGTCAACCCCCAGGTCCCAGAGAAGCTAGCTAAGAAAGCTTAAATTACACTCAGTGACTTGTTCTATGTTTAACGGCTCGGTTGAGACTTGACATTCTTCTTCCTGTGTTCGGGGTCTTCATGCTTTTATATACTGGTAATCATATGCTGTTTGTCGAAAACTCAAGGAATTCCATAATCGTTTGTGGTAGGCATGAAGATATTTAGGGATGTGGTTTTGTGCAATTTGCATGTAGCTGTGAATAGAGGAATAGATAGCTTTTACAGCTGACTACATGATTTGACTTTTGCGCTGCTCCAAGTACCTAGTAGCATCAATCACATGGAAAGTTTCAGCTTGTTTATTTAACTACATCAATTAGCAAGATAAAATATTTCACATTTATCAAAATAACCAGCCTCCTTTCCATTTAACTGTATGTTTTGACCGAATACTTTTAACTACAAGCGTTGTCCACGTCTCATTCCCTGCTGGCAACTTCATCACATCATAGGCTAATCAGCCACCACCACCACCACCTTCATTTGACAGGAATCATGAAAACAACAAAACTATTGGGCCACCATTCATATACGAAAGCTCAAAAATCCTTATTCTATTTGTCACGGCCCCAGCAATCCCGTCGATTCAGCTTCTTTAGCCAAGACCGGACGAGTCGATTGCTGGATCGCCGTCTTGCTGGACTTGGCCATCTTATTAAAGACGAATATGCTAATATCCGACATTCATATTGTGAGTGCTCAAAAGAAATTATATCCACCCCCCTCCTCAAGGCATCTATCCACGTACCCTTGACCTCTGACTGGTAGACGCTGCACGAATGCCTTATTTTCATGTGAGGCAGTGAAACCAAAGCATCCTATAGTATTAGCACACGGTCTTCTAGGTTTTGACGAACTTCGAATCGCAAAACGAGCTTTGCCAGCCATACATTACTGGAGAGGGATCAAAGATGCCTACTCTATTAATGGTGTGGAAGTCATCACCGCTCCTGTTTCTCCGTCCGCCTCCATTGAACAGCGGGCAGAAGAGCTGTTGCAAGGAATTGAAAACAGGGCGGAAGGCAGAAAGGTTAATATTATTGCGTGAGTCCTCTTACATACTAGTTCCTTCGTCTTATCCAATATACTAATTAAGCCGGCTGTGCAGACATAGCATGGTATGTTCTTCTAATACCTACTTGAGAGATCATAGGCTCACCATCTTCGTCAGGGGTACGATATCTACCACAGCTTTGACTGCATACAGCTCAAATTAACCCAGGGACTTCACGTTAAGTGGACTAGATGCCAGGTATATGATCAGTAAACTACGACCAACGACATTCGAAGTCGTCTCATTGACAACCATAGCTACGCCCCACCGAGGTCAGTATATATGCTACCTTTTGCATCATATATTCGTGACCATCTGATTAATCAATTTCATCCAGGCTCAGCTGTGGCCGACTATATTCTTGAATGGCTAGGCGGTCCGTTACAACCAATCTATCTTGAGGTACAGCAGCTTACCAGCAATAGAGGAGCGTCTTTCCCAGCTCTACTTTATACTTGGCCGCCTAGGGTTGGAAAATGGAGCATTCAAGCAACTCACCCGGGAATATCTCGCCCACACATTCAACCCTGATGTTATGAATGTGGATGATGTCAAGTATAAGCTAACGAATGCGGTACCAGATGCTTCTCCAGTTCAACTTGCTGATATAAACCTAGGTATTATTCGTATGGAGCCGTATTATCGCCGAATACCTGGTCGATGTTTAGCCAATCACGCAGGATACTAGACAACGAAGAAGGCCCGAACGATGGCCTCGTGAGCGTTGCAAGTAGCAAATGGGGTTGCTACAAAGGTACGCTAGTTGACGTCAGTCATATTGACTTAATCAATTGGACAAATCGCCTTAAGTGGTTTGCTGCAGAGATAACTGGAAATAGAAAGAAGTAAGTCACATGGTACCCTAAATGTGTTATCAGTGGGTAACCGATCTCTGGTGATTGAATAGGTTCAATGCTGTGGCATTTTATCTTGACATCGCGGGTAAGTCATTTGCTGGAAGGTCCTGGCTGCGGGTGAACGAGGTCTGATGCACTACTAATCGGAATTAGACATGCTCGCAAAAGAGGGGTTATAGTTGGTGTGTTACCAGCGAATAGATGCACGGGGTACGGTGGGGTTATAGGACTGGTCCTGGAGATACTGGTTTTGTGTCGAGCTTGCATAGAATGATATGTCATATCATGTATATAATTTGTAAGAAAATCAGATTATTAATTGGCAATGGTAGAACATCATTAGTGCATTGCATAGCAAATTTCGTCACAGAAATGAGGACATGCCGGCGGGAGCCCCCAATAAGTTGGAGTCGCTGTCTACATGTTACTGGATTTTCATTGGCCAATTAAGCGCAATAAATGACGTATGTCACGTGACCACGCGTTTATTGATATGACGCGAATGTCTGCGACATTTGACAAAAACCATCATTGGGCAAAGGACCTTTAAATTTCAGTATCATGTCGAATAGTGATGGTTACAGTTTTGTCAGATTCCGATGAACCTCCCTGTGCGGATACAGACCCTTCCATTCTCTCTGAAAGCCCGCGGCCAGCAAAACGACGACGCGTCTATAACCCTCCCGTCTCCTCTCCCACAGGTATAAGTAGCCAAGCCGAGGAGGCGGAAGAAGAGGAGACAGGGGAGGATAGTTTGGACGATGAAGATGGGATTAGCATAGGATCAAATAATGAAACGGAAGAGGAATCAGAGGATGGGCTTCCGCCCCAAAAGGCACAAATCCCAAAAACTAGGGGGGAGGCCCCAAAGCAGCAGGCGAACAATTTAAAAGTATATCAACCGAAATACTATACAAACCAAGAACCGGTCTTTGTTACTCAGTTGACACAACCATCTTCGAGTCCTTCAAGGATCCGTGGGCCGCGATGGAAAAAACCTCAGCCACAGCAACACAATCCAAGCCCGCCGAGACCACCACCTCCTACACATTCTCCTTGTCCTCCTATATACCCTCCTCGACAACAATCAAATGGAGATTCTAGCAATCTGCAAAACGCTGAAGGCTCTGATGAAGATATCAAAGCAGCCATACGCGAATCCCTTAAATCACTACGAGAGGAGACATCTGTTCGTGGGACAAAAATAAGGAACCGGATTGCTAATAACCCCGTAGAAAAAACGGGCGATGTTTCCTCTTTACCACCAGCTGCGGGAAACAGCCCGGACTTGACTGCACTAGCTTTGGATTTTGATCCTGATGATATCCCTGATGTGTTTGGTTCTTCGCCCATATCTTCCCCTCGACAGACTCCCACAAATGGGCGCGTTACTAGTCAATCTCAGACCGGGCTTCAAACCTCACAAAGAAAACAAACAAACTCTCAACCAAAAAGCCTTCGCCAGACCACATTATTTGGCGGAATTGCAAGCAACCAATCCCCATCTCAATCGGCGACCTCCAGGAACTGGCCTTTGGCCACTCAAAACGAGGTTCCAACACATCATGCGCTTAATTCAGAAGCCCTGGAAACGTGGACGTATCCAATGAATTTGGGGAGAAAACGTGATTATCAGTTTAATATTTCCTACCGCGGTCTGTTTCATAACCTTCTTGTTGCCCTACCCACTGGTCTTGGAAAGACGTTCATTGCTGCGACTGTGATGCTTAACTGGTTTAGATGGACAAAATCTGCTCAGATTGTATTTGTCGCTCCAACTAAGCCACTCGTTGCGCAACAAGTTGATGCATGTTTTAATATTGTTGGAATTCCCCGGTCCCAAACCACGATGCTTACAGGAAATGTGCCACCTGGCTTAAGAGCGACAGAATGGGAATCGAAGCGTGTCTTTTTCATGACACCTCAGACCCTTATTAATGACCTCAAGAGTGGCATTGCTGACCCAAAGCGAATTGTGCTATTAGTTGTTGATGAGGCGCATCGTGCCACAGGTGCATACGTATACGTTGAAGTTGTCAAGTTTATCCAACGATTTAATACTAGCTTCAGAGTCCTGGCGTTAACCGCGACTCCGGGCTCAACGGTTGAGACAGTCCAGGAAGTAATTGACGGATTGAACATTTCAAGAGTCGAAATACGCACTGAAGCCTCTCTGGATATCCGTGAATATGTACATGCTAAAAACGTGGAGACCATCTCTTTCTCTAACTCTGACGATATGAAGCTTTGCATGGATCAATTTTCAAAAGCATTGAGGCCCGTTGTTGAGAAACTTCGTAACATCAATGCATATTGGGGAGATGACCCGATGTCCCTCACTCCTTTTGGGTTAACTGAGGCCAGAAAAAAGTGGATTATGTCGCCAGCAGGTAGAACAGCTAACTGGGGTTTAAAAGGAATGGTCAATAGCATATTTACAGTCCTGGCTAGCCTAGCTCATGCCATCGAGCTTCTCAAATACCACGGAGTTGGACCTTTTTATCGTAACTTGGTGTCGTTTCGTGATGGTCCCACTGATGGAAGTCAAGGGAAAGGAGGAAAATATGGTCGACAGATCATGGATGATGCGAATTTTAAATCCATGATGACTACGTTAAGGTCAAAAATGACTGATGCGGATTTCATTGGCCATCCCAAGTTGGAATACCTCAAACGAGTTATTTTGAACCACTTTTTGGACGCAGATACCAACAGCCACACGGCTGATTCACCAAAGACACGAGTGATGGTGTTTAGTCATTTTCGTGACAGTGCAGAGGAAATTGTCCGGGTTCTCAAAAAACACGCTCCAATAATCCTGCCACATGTTTTCGTAGGCCAGGCAAGTGCCAAAGGCTCCGAAGGCATGGACCAGAAGAAACAACTAGAAATTATTAAGAAGTTCAAAGAGGGAACGTATAACACCATCGTTGCCACTTCTATTGGAGAGGAAGGCCTTGATATTGGAGAAGTTGATCTTATCATATGTTACGATTCTTCAGCGTCGCCTATTCGTATGCTGCAGAGAATGGGGAGGACCGGAAGAAAACGTATGGGCAAGGTCGTTCTCTTGCTTATGGAAGGCAAAGAGGAGGAAAAGTACTTCAGGGCAAAGGATGACTACGAGAAGATGCAACAAATCATTGCTTCTGGATCTCACTTTACATTCCATGAGGACAAATCTCCTCGCATTATTCCACGTGATATCCAGCCGAGAGTAGATGAGAAACGCATTGAGATACCCATAGAGAACTCGCAGGCGGAACTACCGGTGCCTACAAAACGTGGCCGCATACCGAAACGACCACCAAAGAAATTCCACATGCCCGACGGGGTTCAAACAGGCTTCACGAACGCCCTAACATTGACCAGTGCTGATAAGAAACCTAAAAAGCGGAAGAATTTACCTGAACATCAAGAACCAAGCCCAGAGCTTGCAGAACTCCCGCCCTTGAACGAGGTTACTCTTACTCCAGATCAAACTCTCCAACTGAGACGGAATTTTCAGACCGTGGCTGGAACGGCACCACAGGTCATGCGCTTCCCTCGAGTTGACGCTTATCCAGCTCTTCAAAGATTCTGTCGGCCCACTGTAGATGTGCCGCATGGGACCCTGACCCGCAATCTAACAAAGGCGGTCCGTGAAATGTCGGAATTTGGCATTGATTGTGATGAAAAATACGAGTCTTACCTTCCTGACATTCATAACTGGGAACCCGACGACAAAGTGCCCTCACCTATTTCCGACGATGGCCATGAACAAGATTCTTCTATTGATAAACTAGGCAACGGCATAGTTACTAAGACACTCGACCGGCAGCAGAGAACACAGCAGGACGATCAATCTGAGCGCGGGCTCTCATTGATGTGTACCCAGGCCTCCGGCTCGTTCGGTTTCAACAACGATAACATAAATGCACCTGAGCATAGCGCTGATGATGATTTCGCTGACATTGATCAGTTATTTGCGGAATCCTTTGCTAGCAACGATCCCTTTGCTCGAAAACCCGCTGCTAAGACGACAAGGGATGTAGTTCCTGTTGGGGAGACAAACGAAGATGTTGCTCATATTCTTAGTGATTATAGCGGGTTTTCTAGTGATTTCTAGACACTATATAATTACTTACCACCTGCTCTTTGGCGTTTAGGTAGAAGTGATGAGGACATGACTTTTGCATATAATATATTAAAAAAAAACGTTAACTATCTTGCATCGTTTCGAGAATGGAGCCGTGGCGCGTGGAAATACGGTAAATTTAACGCCTTTTTGCCACGCACCTAGTCAGCTATGTTCGTCATCTTTATTTACTCCATCTCGGTATTACCTCCTCAGACATCAAACTCCTAGACCAACCCGCAATCCGGAGCTTTCTGTTTCTTTCTCCTTCCAGAACCATGGCAGACACACAGTTTGATAGTGCCTTGTAAGTCACTCGTCCCTCTCCTGCTCTTCAATCTGTCGCTAGACACCCCTCCCCCACTTAACGGGAAAGGCATCCCCAGTGTATTCGCCAGGGGGTATCAACCTAGGACCTCCAGATGTGCAAAATATCTGATAATAGGTACTTGAAAACAGAGACCTTCTTCGCCGTCTATCCCCCAGAAATACAAAAGAAAATTTACATAACATCACCACACTGGTTCCCGACTTGACCGAGGACCTCCTGGCATCCGTGGACCAACCCCTCGAAGTCCGACGATGCCCCCGATCAAAGCGCGACTACTTGCTTTGTGACTACAACCGTGACGGAGACAGCTACCGAAGCCCGTGGAGTAACGAATTTGACCCCCCAATTGAAGACGGAACAGTACCGAGTGAACGCGTGAGAAAACTGGAAATTGAAACGAACAAGGCATTTGATATTTACCGGGACCTTTACTACGATGGCGGAGTTGGTAGTGTTTATTTCTGGGACCTTGATGACGGGTTTGCTGGTGTGGTGTTGCTGAAAAAAGGTATTTCATCTCACCTATCAAGGTGCTCGTCATGAACTGACTCGGTGTAGGGATCACCCCTGGCTCCAAGAATTCTGGCGCCTGGGATAGTATCCATGTTTTTGAGGCTACCGATCGCGGACGAACGTGTCACTATAAGCTGACAAGCACGGTTATCCTCCATCTGTCAACCGGTTCAGACACCCTTGGGGAGATGGACCTGAGCGGCAATATGACGAGACAGATCGAGTCGGATATGGCCGTGAACGGTGATGAGAGCCACGTAGCAAACGTGGGACGTCTGGTTGAAGATATGGAGTTCAAAATGAGAAACTTGCTACGTATGATTACGCAAAATTTATGTTTCCCCGTCGCCTATATAATGATGCTAACGACAGTTCTCTTAGAGGAGGTTTATTTTGGTAAAGCGAAGGACGTTGTTTCTGAGCTTAGAAGTGAGTATATAATCAGATGTTTGCCTTGGTATTGCTATAGTGAATACTAACTTGCCAATTTTAAGGTCTACAACCGCTGTCCGAGACAAACGAAGAGAAGTCCGCCCACCGTAATGTTATCAATGCTATGATGAAATAGAAGATCATTCGTATTATCGGACCTTGGGACCAGATTTTCGAAAGCGCAAATCCCTACCACCTTGCCATTCCTGTAAATAGACACGAAATATATGGTAAATGTGAATTCGACAACGATAAATGTTCTCCTTCGCTCTAACTATTCGTTTTGTTGGAGTACATTCACATAGCCACGGGGGCGGCTTTTCTCCTTTGCGTAGGAGCTAGATGATCCGAACAAATCATATACAATCGAACACTGCAGCTCCAATCGACCTCCTATATTATTGATCTGTCTCGTTGAAGTTTGATATGCGATTGTTCTCTCTCTCTCGAGTAGTAAGCATAGCGTGGCAGTTAAGGTAGGTACGCATTGCTACAGTTAGCAAGCACTTTCTTCAGGGCGGCAATAAAGTGCACAAGAAGTTTTCAGTTAGACAGGCCCCGTCATTGGGAACAAATGGGTATTGTGCATGCTCTTAGGAATATGACGATGGTCAATTATCAGACATTATCAGTCCACATCCATGGCCTGTTTCCCGCCTGCATCAGCCTGAGCCGCGGATGAATCAGGGTTCTCATTCCCTTTTTTAGCGGTAACAATTTTCATAAAACGGCTAGCTTCCGCCCACAGTTCCGCCTCCTTGTCTTTTCCGACTGTATCCTTTCGGCTGTTCAGCCAGCTCGTTTCAAGAGGATTGACAGTCCCAGGTGACAACTGGGTAGTGGCACCTGCCCCAGCGACCATGCTATCCCCTGCTTTAAGGGAGATAGTAGGTTCAGCACGAATTATCGAGGCTTCCTCTAGAGCATAGACTTGTCGGCGTAGTTTGACGTCAACTGACGAAACAAGAGCAAAGTACTGAGAGCACGCGGTTTTGAAAGCTTTTTTACGGGAATCAAGAGACGCGTCTGTAGTCGAACTACTTGTCTCTAAGTCTCCTTGGGATAGTGACGCGTTGTTGGTGAGAGACTGGATCGCAAGTCCGGCAGACTGCAGTATCTGGGCTACATCCTATATCCAAAGTCAATATTAAGCACGCATGCGCAAGTGACCACCACACGTACCTTATCAACCTCATTTAATTCATTTATTCGATCAGCAGGGCTAAAGACTGCTTTCTCCGACTCCATTTTTACTGCCTCGCTCTCAAGTTCTCATCTCCCCCCTTGGATTAATTGTGTCCTCTCCATCATCATCAAACCGGAGGTTGAGAGTAGCTGCTTATGTAATATAACAACTTATATGTCACGTGATATAACTGGGGCCACTTCGCGGTTTGTCGCAACTTCTGACCTTCATTTCTTTTATACACAGACAAGCAACCAATCCCTCGTACTCTCTTGTCGCATAGACATCTCAAATCTGTCACGACGATTCCACTGCCATGAGTCGTGTTCTAGCTTGCGAGGTTTTCGACTATCTGAGATTTTGACTTACTACATTACGATCCCTAATACCCACGTAATACAGAGAACGGATCGCCTTGACAAGATATCAAAAAATTTCCAATATGTCGGGACCTGCTGGAGCACCCAGCTCTGGCCCCAGGAGCGCCAGCACCGGCCCTGGTAATGGAGTTGCAATGCCGTCTCAACATCAGCAACCTATATCCAGTGGACCTTCCTCTGGTGGTGCAACACCAGCTGTACCCAACAGACCCGGACCTGTATCCCAGCAGGATTTGAACCAGATTGTAAGTCAACTTTATGCTCATGTAGCTGGATGTACATGGTTTTTCTTTTCTCTAGAACAGCAGAGTTTGCTGTACGTGGGTTTTTGCCTTTTCCCTTTTGCTTGTCCCTTCTTTTGGTTCTTTTGTTATGCTGCTTTTTATATCTACATTTATATCCCAAATGCCTTGGCCTTTGATAAACACTCAAAATAAGTGTGACAATATTCATCTATATTTCAATTGTTGGTTGCCCCAAACCAGGACAATATATTCACTACCTTTAAACTGTTTGGTGGAGCTAGATCTAGCTTGTGCACTTCATGCTTTAAATGTCTCTTTAAAGGCACTATATCCCAAGCTAGAATTCTCCTGTTACTGCACCTCACCCTCAGTTGCCAAAGGTGGAAAAATGTATCCCCGTCTCCGTCTATCAATTTCACACCAGTTCCCCATGCCCTTTATCCTTTCCACAGACTCATCCGTTCTTGCTTGGGTTTCCTTCCTTTCTCTCATATTACCCAGGCATTGCAGCTGTCATACAAAGGACAATGGGGGGAAAGTGTCCAGTTGGATGGCAGCCAGCGGCCGGCTGGAGTTCGGAACCAGAGGAATCCAACCCGGAGGATGAGAAAGTTGCGCGTCTCAATCAAATCGTGGGTTCTGTGTCAAAGTGTTTGGCTGTTTTGTTATGTTTTTCTTCGAATTATGCTTATGATTTATATTTTGTTGCATGAGATCAATGCTAATGAGTATCGCTATAGGTCATTGACTATTTGGCTAAAAAGGGCTATAATCGAACAGAAGCCATTTTCCGAATGGAATCATCAAATCAAGAAATCGATGGGCGCCCTTTGTTGCCAGTCTCGACTGATACCCATCCGAAATTCAGAGCTGCCTTTGGTTTGTAGCCATCATCACTATTTGAATGTATGCCGACACGCAACTAACTTGCAGGTAATTTCTAGAAATGACAAAGTTATGGGTCGAAGATAATTTGGAGATTTACAAGGTATTACTTCCTTTGATCACTATTTGGACTGTTTTCTAACTCCTGGTACTCGTCCAGCCCGAACTTAGACGCGTTCTTTGGCCCCTTTTTGTCTACTCCTATTTGAATCTCATCAAAGCTATGGCACCATTGGAAGGCCGCCAGTTTTTTGAAGCAAACAAAAATTTGTTTCTTCCGGAGCACACGGACGATATTCGTGCACTGCAGACACTTGGGCTTCCAGAACATGTTCAGGATAATAATATAGCTAAGCTATACCTCGACAACAAATACCGGCTCACTTTGAGCAACCCCGCTTTCTCCAATCTCATGCAATTCCTTGAAACTAAACATAAGGAGGGTGGAACGGTTATGTCGGCCTTGTTGAGCAGTTACTGTACCATCATTACAAAGGATCGTGCTTCTGATGACCGGTTCAGTTTTGGCGCAATGCTTGCCAGAGGCAAAGATTCAGCCGGCGTACCTGCTGAAGATGAAGGAATTCCAGGTCACCACCCCGGCTCTGCTTATACTGGTGACAATCCTGGAATAGCTGGGGCCCTTCCTCGACTCAAACTAGGACAGTTACCCCCAGAGGCCACATTAGAAGGAGATGTTCGCGGGGAGTTAGAGGAGGAAGACTCTAAAGAAGATCTTGGGCCTGGAAAAGTAACCCTTGTCCAGCATTTTGACCAGATGATCAAGAAAGAAGAAGACCTTGATGCTCCTTCTCGCTCAGAAATCCCATACCCTCCTTCTACTGCACGTGATGTGGCTATGGAAGTCCAGAAAGTGAAAGAAAATCGTGACAGGTTTAAGATCGAAGGGCGAAGTGGAGGTGTTGCTCCTGGAGTTAGCGTCTGCATGTTTACTTTCCACAATGCAAACCAAGGGTATGTATCCGAGCCCGAGGACTAGGGTGACAAACCCGAGCTAATCATATGTTTTCTTTGTTTAGAATTACTTGCATGGATTTTTCTGGAGACAACGCTCTTGTAGCTGCCGGTATGCAAGACTCTTACATTCGTGTTTGGAGCCTGGATGGGCTCCCTATCCCTCCCACATACCCAGATTCGGACGATTCCACCCCAAAAAATTCCCACAGATTGTATGGCCATTCTGGTCCAGTTTATGCAGTGTCATTTGCTCCGTCCATAGCAAGTCCAGACGATGCAGAGGTGAAAACCAATGCTCGTTGGCTTCTTTCCTCATCCGCGGACCAAACTATCCGTCTTTGGTCCCTTGATCTTTGGAGGTGTATTGTTGTGTACAAAGGCCATGCTGGTCCTGTCTGGAGCCTGTCATGGGGGCCATTCGGGCACTATTTCGTTTCTGGTGGTCATGACAAAACTGCAAGGCTCTGGGTTACCAACAAGATCCGACAGCAACGTATCTTTGTGGGACACGATCAAGATGTTGATTGCGTATGCTTCCACCCAAATTCTGCCTACGTATTCACAGCGAGCTCTGACCACACCGTTCGCATGTGGTCTGTAAGCACGGGGAATGCTGTTCGTATGTTTACCGGCCATACTGGGAACATCACTGCTGTATGCTGCAGCAACGATGGACGACTTCTTGCTTCTGCTGATGACCATGGGACTATCATTCTCTGGGATCTTGCCCCTGGAAAACTTCTTAAGCGCATGCGTGGCCACGGAAAGGGTGGTATCTGGGCTTTATCTTGGAGTGCCGAATCCAACGTCCTTGTTTCCGGCGGCGCAGACGGCACAGTCCGTGTTTGGGATGTCGCAGGACCCCCTAGTGAAGCTTCCACCGGGCAAAGCCGCGTGCTCACAGAGTCGGGAGGTGGAACCAAAATCGATGCTTCAAATTCGACGAACGCAGCACCTAATCAATCAGCAGCAACAGCCGCATCTGTGACCGGAGCTCCAAAGTCAGGCTCAGCCAAGGGAAGCTCTTCTAAGAAGAAAAAAGGAAAGGATGCGGTTGTTACTGCCGATCAGATCAGCGCATTTCCAACTAAGAAAACTCCGGTTTTTAATGTCACGTTCACCAGAATGAATCTAGTAATTGCCGGAGGAGCATATACTCCCTGAAACGACATTTACCACTGAGAATATCCTACTCTTTCCAAGGTGTTATGGGGCAGTATTGTGATTTCAATGCCGGCGTTCAGGTAGAGCAAGGAATCCAAAGCAAGGGCGCTGGCATTAGTTGTGGTTAGGTCTACTGGCAGAATTAGTTAATTTCCATACGTTGATTATCTTTCCAATACTGATACAGGATGAAGGCAAGTCTCAGCCGATTAATGCAATGTATTTCATACGACGAGTTGGTAACAACCTCCTATAACGTCTGGTATCTCCAAATAAATTATTATTATTATTATTATGCAGCACTATATACCATCGACAATAACGATGCAAAAGTTCTCCGGTATATCAGCAAATAACAGGGGGATTTTAACGAGTAGGTTGAATGTTTCATTTCTTAAGACCCCATTTTTGCGCGCTATCCTTGGAGGCTAACATGTCGCTGACTTTGGGAGGGAGAACAAGGGCACTTCTGTCATTGCGTTTATAAAAGTCGACTAATATCTGTGCAGTTTTAACAGGCTGATCTTCATGGATAAAATGGCCAGCCTCTGGGAAAACTTGGAGTTGATATTTCCCTGTCATATCAAAGCATTAGTTTTGAATACAGCAGAGTGTTAATGAAGTAAACTGCCTACCCTGCATCTGTCCGATAATCAACTCCTTATCTAATCTATCGGTTCCTGCCAAAAGAAGCAGTTTACCTCCACGAGCCTCTAGAAATTTCTTGCTGAGACCAGTGAACCAGTTTTCCCAAAAGGGTTTCGTTTTGGCAAGGTCTGTACGCCATTTCCAAGATGCAGCTACATGTGAGTCTATAGATGGTTCTTCGCGCAGAAGGCCTTGGACTGACACTCGTGCGGAAGCTGTGTTGCGTATCGTTCGGGATCGAGTACTAGATCAACGTAAGAATTTGGGTTGAAATAAATAAATAATATAACAGCATAAATTATCCAGAAACGTACTGCCATTCAATACCCGATGCTAGAGATGGAAAACTTGACGGTCTGGTAGAAAGGTATGTCTCCATACTCTGAAGTGCATCGATTGCAGAACCTGAACAACCATGACCAAAAAGACGAGTTAGCTCCTAAGAGTCCAAGAATGGGGTTTTCAGTTTTCTTAACGTACCCTCTACGACGTCAAGCACAGCATAAGCTAAAACGTTCGACCCTAGTTCTCCACTCTTCGCAACATGGGTAACCACAGCACCTCCAAGACTGTGACCAACTAGAACAAGTGGGGGAATAGAATCCCATTTCAACTTTTCTTTGGTTTTCTTGACGATATATATAAGATCACGGCTTAGGGTTTCCAGTGTTAGGTCTTGTTCATATTTCTGCGAATCGGTTGTGCTCTGTGTTGTAAGCCCGTGGCTTCTAGCATCTAATGATAAAATGCCAGCTGTTGGTAGAGCTCGTCTGATTTCGGCAGCACAAGCAGCAAACGATAGACCAGATGAGCCTGCTCCGTGATGCGTGACGAAAAGGGGGCCGGATTTGGTAGGGGAAGTGAAGTAGACGTGATGATTTATTTGAAGGCCATCCATATCGTCCTCAATGAAAAGTTCTGTTTCAAAGAAGTCATTCCATGGAGAAGCAACGAAATTTGACCTTGATCGTGCCCTTTGGCTGAATAGTTAGAATTGGGAAAGACCTAGCAAAGCTTTTCTGATGGGGTACATGTTGCAGGTATTATGATGTATACCTATTGGAGTATCCCAATGAAAGCATACAAAGTCATGTAGTAACACATAGGGAAGGAAGACAAATATAACGTACCCAGACCCACGCTCAAATAACTTCTGGCTCTGCGAGGGCACTATCGTACCCGTGGAGGAAGCCGACGACGCTGACGATGAATCGTCCTCATGATGATCATTATATACCTCAGGACCGGACCGGCTTTCAGTAATCTCATCAAATACTGGCACCTCAGGCGGCAGCTTTGCAAGCCGTGATTTGGCGAAAGACTTTTGGAGGTCGCTCATGGTATCTCGTCTCTGCCCAAAGGGGGAGGGGGTATCTCAAGAAGCTGCTGGACAGGTATCACAGCCGCGCCGTTGGTGGAACAAAAGGGAGGGCAGATATCTCTTCCTTTATCAAACGTGTCTTAAATTATCTATTCGGTATAACACATGCTGTAGTTCAACGTCTAATTCAACTTGATGTGATGCATTATCAATCTTCAAAGCCGTCGCTTCTCTGGTTCGAAGATGGGATGCGATGCGATGTTGCTAGTTTTAGGTACCTAACGTATGTAATTTACACAACTTTAAATACAACTAGTCCTAAAGAGGGCGATGTATCACGTGATTATATGACGTCACCGCCCGCCTGTGTTATTTCTGCCCGTCCAAAGCTTGGAAGGACGCAAAGGGCGACTGAAGGTTCTGCCTTTGCCACATGCGAGGAGAAAGCAAGTAAGATGCTATGCTGAACCAAGGCGGCAGATAGGCGGGCCTTATATGTGTATTGTGTCTAGTATTGCTATCATGAAGTCAATCTTGTATGACCTGGGCCCCGGCGGTGGTGGTATAAATACTAGTGGGCACAGCTCCTCTGCCAACTTGCTGCCAGCTTCGATCGTCTTTTTGACACCCCCGGAGAGCTCTTAATCGATTTCAACGACCAGGGAACCGGCTTAACTTGGACAGCTCCCTAGAACTGTCCGCCTAATTACTTTGTATTCCCTGGAATAAAGTTGTATGTGCTAAAGAAAAAACAAAAAGGCCCTCGAGAATGTCACCCCTTTGGGGTTTACGGCACAACGGCCGAGAAGAAGGCCGGGAGGACGGGGATGAGGAAGAATATGTCGGCGAGACAGGCCGTCCTGATAACAGAAGAAGAGCTCAGGATGTGGACGAAAGGACACGCCTCTTGCCGGCTGAAGGAAACGGATACCTCCATCCAGACGATCCAGCGGTATGTTATAGATGAGCTCAGCCTCGCGTGGATGTTGGCCAAGCTAATTCGTCATTCTTGCCATCTTGATTCAGGTATCGCCATACAATCTATGGAGTGTCCGGGCCCTGAGAGGACTCACCCTGACGGTGTTATTCATATCACTTCTTTGGTGGATTCTGCTACTCATATCGATCTTCGTCAGCCCCCCTGGGATGAGCAACCGGGGGTCCGGCTTCTTTGATTTCTCCTTCACCACTCTGACGATATCAAACTTGCTTATTGCATTGATATTCTTTGCCATCCCATCCACACCTATGACGATATGGGCTACCACCTTATCCGTTTTGCTGAGCGTCAGCCTATTTCTCATGCTTGGAGTTCCACGGCTTCGCATTGAAGAAGGCTGGGTGGGCATTGCATCAGCAGCATGGGCAGTCGTTATATCTCTCTATCTGGTAGCCCAGACTCGGTTGGTGGCCCAGGGTAAGAGGCAAGAAGAGGAACGGCTGACTGGTCGAGAGGAGACTCGCCGATCCCTCGCGGAATGGCTGGCCATCCTCGTTCAGATTATCGTTATGGCGGTTACCGTACTTGTTGGCATCCTACTCATGTCCACGTTGAGTCTGCGCGCAAAGGACGCTACCCTGGAGGCCCCGGGGCAGAGGTATTATGTCGACAGCAACAAGTACCAAGTCCACCTTCACTGCATTGGTGGTGACCATTCAACCTTGAAAAACAGCAACGAGACGACCGTTACTGTCCTCCTTGAAGGAGGTGAGTCACCAGTGGAATATACATTCCAAAAGTGGGTGGATGAAGCCTACCAACACGGTGTGATCAAACGATACTGCTACTGGGACCGCCCCGGCATCGCTTGGTCGGACAATGCACCGTCTCCTCACTCGGCAGGAATGTCGGCAGATGCCCTTTCAGAGGCACTGGCGATGGCCGATGAAGAAGGCCCGTGGGTTGTAGTGTCGGCCGGCGTCGGTGGCATCTACAGCCGCATCTTCGCCAGCCGACATCTTCGCGACATCCACGGTATCATGCTTATCGACACGCTCCATGAAGACCTGCTTCACAACCTGGGCAAGCCAGGCCGGGGGTTGATGCTCTGGATCTGGGGTATATTATCTCCACTTGGCATTGACAGGCTGGCCGGCGCAATCTTCAAGGGCCGGACTCGAGCAGACCGTGTCTGCGGCATGCGAGCCTATCAGGGAGGAAAGTTCATCAAGGCCGAGCTCCAGGAAAGCCTTGTTGCGGATTCCATCACCCGCAGCGAGATTTCGAGTGCACGACATATCCAGAGCCCATCCACCCCTCTGGTAGTCGTCAGTTCAGGCAAAGAGGTAAGACGAAGCCAGACCTGGGCTGATAAGCAAGAAGATTTGACCAAGATCACCAAGAATCTTGTTGCATGGGACGTTGTCAAGGGAGCACCGCATCAGGTCTGGGACACCCTTGACGGACGACGGACACTGGAGAAACGACTAGGAGAACTGGTGAAGCAGGCTAAACACTGAAAGCCCTTGATCTTGACCCTCTCGGTTGTCTTTTGATCCCTGTATGTGCCATGTTTTTTTTCAATCATCCCCCCTTTTTCGGAGCCATTTTCTTGACTCTCGACTTGACAAAATTGTATACACCTTGTGGAAGCCCTTTGCGCCCCGTCTTCTCGGAAAAATTTGTATGATTCCATCTTCATAGCCTAGCTTGACTTTAATGTTAACCGTCTGTCCAAAAAAAAAAAAAACATCGCAGGCAGTGCAGTGGTATAAGTAATAATAATAGCATCATTAAGCCCATGATTCCAAAAGGGGTCGAACCCTCCGAAGATACGATGGAAGGACGGACTCAATTCAACCCTAAAACCTGGCCGAACTTCATCCGGCTAGAACGAAGATGGAATTTATTAACTAATCACACCAAGCTCGCCGGCTGAGGAATCGGCCTGCTTCCCCGTATAATCATCATTGCTATGGAATCTTTGATAACTAGGTAGCCCGAGATTTGTCATCCCGCCGATGGCGCAAGATGCCGCCATAGCTTGGCTGCTGGAGGCGTCCATTTTGGCCCTGGCTGCCTATTTATTTATTCGGCGGCCGTCGTCCTTCTGGTATTGAGCTGTTCATAAGTATCAAACCACCGCTCTGACTGACCAAAACCACCGTTGAAGCGTCTCGCTGCTCCCATCGCGTGCTCTCTCAGATTCGCTTCCTTTCAATCTCTTTTACTTTCTTATCTGTCAAAAGTCCGTCCCTGTCGAGATCTCAACCGCCAAGCGAGGTAAAACGGCGATCAAACGGCAAAGATTAAAATATCTTAAATATCTTCCGGGGACCAGCCAGGCCGGCCAGCCCAGCTAGTTAGCACAGAAAAACCACTTCTCCCTTTCCCTCCTCCCCAGTTGATGGCCTTTTCCCCAATATCCCTTCAGCGACTCTTGCAACGATTGTCGAGGCCCTTCTCTCTCAGTTCCGTCAAGATGACTGTCATTCCCGAGTCCCCTGCCGGTGGTTTGGCTGCAAAGCAGCAAGGTATCCCTCCGCATGCGCAAAAGGCCACCTTTGCTGCCGGCTGTTTCTGGGGCGTTGAACACATCTTCCGTCGGCGGTTTGGCAACGGGAAGGGCCTCCTAGATGCCTCTGTTGGCTACTGCGGTGGGAAATCCAAGTTGCCAACCTACCGTCAAGTCTGTACGGGACAGACAGGCCGTAAGTCTACCCCCATAGCCCTTTTTTTTTCGGGCTTTCATCGGGAGATCATGTTGATCAATGACACTGCGCCGTTGATGTTCGGGATAGGATGGCTAACCTTTACTCTCTTGCTTGCCTTTCCATTGAAACAGATGCCGAAGCCGTCGAGGTGATATATGACCCGACAATTGTCTCGTACCAGCAGCTTGTCGAATTCTTCTACTCCATGCATGACCCAACCACCAAGAACAGACAGGGCGCTGATACTGGCACCCAGTACCGAAGTGCCGTGTTTGCTCATAACGAGGAACAGCTGAGGATCGCAAGGAGCGTAACGGACCAGGTTTCTAGGCGGTGGTGGAAGGCCCCCGTCACCACCGAGCTCAATCCCCCGGACCAGTGGCAGTGGTGGACTGCCGAAGCATACCATCAGCTATACCTGGAGAAGAATCCTACTGGATACGTGTGCCCAGCCCAGTAAGTCAACCTCCTTTTTCACCTATCGATCTGATATCGTATAAAATAGCCCTTGCTGACCGTCGCCTCTCACACTCCAGCTTCGTGCGGGACTTCCCTCCTCTAGTTTCCGCGTGAGCTGAAACCGGAGACGATACCCGTTAATGAACAATAATGAGAAGCAATATCCTCACCCTTTTTATTTTTACCATCATATACCCAAGGAGAATTCAACGTCTCCTTCGTTTATTCTGTTTTTCTACACGCTGGCAGTGGTAGTTCCATTTTCAACCTTATAATACCACGGAACAGGACCTAAGCCAACTACCGAGTGTTTACCTTTCTGCATTGTTTTTATCCTCTTTCTATCGAGTCCTCGGGCGGCGTTCTCTTATTTTTTTCATTATTTTTTTTTTTTTTTTCGGCATACTTGAGAAATTAACTCCCGGGAATGCGTGTGGGCAAGTTGATACAACATTCACTTGCTCGATGAACACCCAATACTTCCTCGGGCCAGTCCTTCTGCCAGTGATATATTAAGTAGGTATCTTAGAGCAGCGGAAAAGAGAAAATATTAGACCTCTTCATTGAGACTTTATCTTGTCAGTATTCATATTCTAGACTATCCATCCCCACACCATTGAATTATACATATATAGCTCTGCGAGCCTCGTACCAACGGTATCCGTAGACAAACGCCCTCAACCCTAAAGCAAAACAGTCACCAGATGATCGACACTCAAACAACAACCGGGGCAATGCAGCTTCTTCCCTGGCATTGACCAATCGTAGGGGGCCGCCGTTTCAGGAGAAAATATCCCTTGGGGCTGCAGGAGTCATAGTCATGCACCGGTCAACGAGATCGCCCTGGGTGCAGCAAAACTATGTACAAGGGCGTGCGAGGGCCGATATCGATCTGGCTCGCCCTCCGTGCGTACCCAAGAGAGGCAGAGGTCAGCTGGTGTCCCTTTGGCTCCGTCCAGCCCGTACCAACCGTGGTTCGAGCACACTCTGGCGTCTAGATAAACCAAACATAGCGTCATAAAGGCAACAAAAACGGGCCCCCTTTTTTGTTTTTTTCTTCTTATTAGCTATGATAGTTAACTGTTCCCTGCTTAGCTCTCGGCCAGTTGAACCATGTCTCCGCATCGTCATCACAGCAGAAAAGTGTGGAGAAGCGTGGGAAGACAGGTAGTATACCTGGTTCGTGTCCTTGCCTTAACCACCGCTAAGTCCTGTGTCACTCGCCGGCCTGCTGGTGCTCGCTCGGCTTTGGCCATCCGGTGGGCGAAGCTTCGTCATGTAGAATGTACACGAAGGGGAGATATGACTTTATCCTTCCAGCCCTTTCCGGGCCTATCCTGCCTATCAGCTTGTGTCCTGAGCGAGCTTTCGTGTGATGTCTTCGTTATGGATGCTTGGATGGCGGCCTGTTTTGACAGCTGTGGAAGCGAGCGATGGCTGGCTGGCTGCGTGGACAGTGTGATGCTCTGCGTAACTAACTAGCTAAAGGAGATGCCGGTCGTCTTGCATGGCATCTGGCTGTTATAAGAGATCAGATGGCTGGCGGTCAACTATATAACTCTATAACTAGCATCTTCCCCCCAGGTTTGCGGGCGTTGTTACTGCTACTTCTCGTATACCTTGACATGACCATCTTTGGACGAGCAGTGGCGGATTTAACTGTCTCTATTTCTACTACCTTGTTGACCCTCTTTTCTCCTCTTCACAAGCCACCCCTTCGACTATCAAGTCTATTTTTCATCGACAGCGAGTTGTGTTGGCTATCATATTCATTCGAGAGAGATAATCTGCACCGAAGGATGGCCTCCGTCGGAGGGATTCCAGCTGTCAACGTTCTATGGAGTACAAAGCAACATCTATATTTCAGCTCTCGCACTGCACGTCTCATCATCGGCAGCCAATGCCGTCCTGCCCAGCATATCCTACACTGGGCCAGATACCATCATGGCGACAAATACGTAGGAGGCCATAGGGACAAGCTGCCCTCGCCGCCTCCCTCGACCGCCCTGGCTACGCCTGGGAGGCAGCGGACAGCGGCCTCTCTCTTCCAGCCACCAAGCCCGCCTCTCTCGGGCTTCCCCTCTTCTCAATGTCAGACTATAGCTTCCCCATTGTCAATGCTCTCTATATCTTCAATCACTCGCTCTCTGTTCACCACGGCAATGTCCTCTTCCCCCATTGTCTTGAAATCAGCAATGAAAATCCTCTCCTTCATAGCAGATTCAAATTCACCCCTATTGAACCCTGATCGCAATTTTATATTGAACTATCTCTTACGCAAAACCCTTTATACCCAGTTCTGCGCCGGGGAGAAACCGCATGAAGTCCAGCGTTGTATTGACGAGATAAAAAGAGTCGGATTTTCAGGTGTCATTCTGGGGTATGCGAAAGAAGGTGTCCCTGATAAGAAAGAAGCCGCTGCAGTTCTTGACCTGGATAGCACGGATGCTGACACCACAGAGAGTAACCAGAAGGTTGCAGAATATGAGGTCAATACCTGGCGAGAGGGGAACCTTCATACTGTAGATCTGGCCGGAGAAGGGGGGTTTGTCAACATCAAATTCACAGGAGCGGGAAGTGAAGCAATACAACATCTGGTACGTGGCGCCCCTCCGCCACCACACCTCTATGAAGCGATGCTTGAAATCTGTCAAAGGGCATTATCCCGGAATGTTCGTCTGTTGATCGACGCAGAACACCAAGCTGTTCAACCGGCTATTGACTCCTGGGCCCTTGATTTACAGCGCAAGTATAACAGCCGCAGCGATAGCACCGCGGGCGAAAGGGCTGTGGTGTACAACACGTACCAGGCGTATCTCCGATCAACTCCCAAGACGTTGTCTCAACACATGTCTATCGCACAGGACGAAGGGTTTGTGCTGGGCGTCAAATTGGTCCGGGGAGCATATCTAGGGGCCGAACCCAGACATTACATCTGGGACCACAAGCAAGAAACAGATACAGCATACGACGGTTTAGCCGATGCACTGATCAGGAGAGAGTACAACGAGGTGCTCACTCCATATGTCTCGACTGCCTCGCCAAAATCCCCTACCTCACCTCCCGTAACTGAGCCAGAATCCATCCCGAAACCTACCTTTCCGGAAGTGGATCTGCTGGTTGCCTCACATAATCGGTACTCGATCAAGAAGGCACAGGATATCAGGAACCAGCAAAGTTATACGGGGCAACCCCAGATTGGATTGATATATGGCCAGATATATGGAATGGCTGATGAGCTTAGCTGTGAGCTCATCCACCGAGGCAAGATCTGCCATGAGGGGGAAGTTGTTGACACTTCAATGTTAGTGAAGCCAATGGTTTACAAAGCAGTTGTCTGGGGGTCGGTCCGAGACTGTATGAGGTACCTTGTCCGTCGAGGCCAGGAGAATATGGATGCAGCTTCGAGGACACTGGATACCAGACGAGCAATGGCAAAGGAACTAAGGAGGAGGATATTTGGAGCCTGGTTTTAGTTAGGTGACCTCAACGGAGGCCCTTTTATCCATTGATTGTTTATTGGGCACCTTTTATGTGAGTATCGTAGCAAATTTTGGGCGTTCATTTTTTTGTAAGTTCTTTCTTCAATTTTCGCAAATATGAACTTGTGAACAATTGATAGTTCATCGGATATGATGTCCAGCCCTACCTGCTATAGTAATTGCTGTCCTAGCGTATTCATAGGCCCGGTCAGTTGAGCCGGAGTATTCGACTGTGAATTTCGATCATTTTGTCTGGAGTGAAGGGTATTGGAAGGCCTTTTGGGTATCGCAGGGATGTCGGCCAAAGTTGCTTGGAAATAATTTGAGCCATGCATCGTTTCAGGATACGGTTACCGGTGCAGCGGGGTCATCTGATGCGATTGAAATTGCGTGTGTATATCAGCAATACATATAATTTCCAGCACAAGCAGTTAAAGAAGGGTAACTGTCCCTTTTTTTTTTTTTTTTAAACCCAGAGGGGATAGCATTTGCAACAAACCCCATGCGAGAAGCCATTGCTCCTATATTACTCCGTACCTGCCAATGCGATGACTTGGGGCAACTCTGGGGTACATCACTAGCTAGAAGCCAAGCCAGAGACCAGGCCGAAGCCGAGCATCCGGATAGCATCAGAAAGTTAAGGTATAATACTACTTTATGCAAACTGCAGTCTGACAGAGTATATCCTCCAAGGTTTTCTTGGGACCGGCCGGATGGCATTGGCGGAAGACGTCGGAGATCATTCACATTGGTATCACATAAAAGTACGAACTAGGCCGCTGAGGCGGTTCGATATTTCCTAAAAGAAAAAAAAACTGGTCATCATCAAGCAAGCAAGTTCAATAGTCAGAAATAAAATAGATTTTAATACGGTTTGGAGGGCTGTTTCACCACAAAAATTCAATATCACGTGATGTTGATTTTTCCAAGGTTCCCAGAAGGTTGGGCTTCCTAACTGGGTCTAGAGGAGGCGTAACTACATGCTTCATGCATAAAACTATATACATAGAGCCAGAGTTGGTAGATGTGATATCATCACCAGGAGCCGCCGACATGAGGACGATCGAAGCGCTGTTTCTCCTTCATCTCGCGGTAGTCGAGATAGCCGAGCCACTTCTTGTCAACGATCTCTCTGAGGTCGAGGCCGTCTTCAGGCTCAAGAGTCTGCGCATTGACAGAGAGATAGCAAGATCTTAGCCCTTCATCCCAGCCATCCTCGTCGATCGTCCAGGCCTTTGTCTTGATCTTCTTTGGGCCTTCATCTCCTGCGGCGGCGGCGGCGGCGGCAGCAGCAGCCTTCATGTCTGTTGTATCAGCTGGCTTGGTCGCCCACTCCTCAACATCCACCTCCTTAACCCTGCCCTTTCCTCCGAAGGAGAAACAGCGGACGCCACAAGTGGGACAGAAGTACCAGGTCGACCCCTCCTCGAGAATCTTGTAGGCAGTCAGGTCATTTTCCGGCTGAAGAGGAGAGAGCAGCAGGAAATCCTGCGGTGCCCTGGGCAGACGCATATGGAAGAGGCCAAACTTGAGACAGGCGGTGCAGTTGCACTTGTAGAAGTGGACGGAGGAGTAGCGGTCGACTTTGCCGTCAGGACTGATGGCGGGTGGCATGGTAATGTATGCCACATAGCGGATGAGGCCACAGCGACAGGACCCCCTGTAGGGCTCTCGGGTTGACGCTGCCATGATGATATGGGCTCTCTTTTATATATACGGAGTGCTGTGTTGCTTAGGGTTGTACGGCAGGAGGATCTTTGTCTGAGAGCTGCGTTGCTCCGAGCTGCTGCTGCTGCTGCTGCTGCTGCTGCTGCTCCTGGTCTTCTTTTTATGTAGGCGGACGAGACACAGAGAGACAGGCAGCAGCTCTTTGTTCGTCAGCTTCCCCGAACCCGAGCCTGCCTGAGCCTGAGCCTGCAGACGGGACTCAGCTCAGGCAGCCAACAGCATCCTTTGGCGCTGGGCCTACCCTGTCTCTGGCGTGAACCGTGCAGCTCCGGGGCCTCCCGTCTGCCCTGCAAACCGCTCGCCAACCGCACGGCCAATCTCTTTTCCAGCGTCGCAGGAGCAAAGATCGCCAGAATCGGACATTGGCCTCATCTCCCGAAGCCTGCTCTTCCCTGCTTCGCTCGCCCTTCGCTCGCTCTTCCATCATCTCTCACTCCTGTCCACTTTTTTTACCCCGTAAAAGTTGTTTATCCGCCGTTCTGACTAAGCAAAAGCAAACATGAGCTAGCGGACGCATGGCACCTTACCTAAGCAGTCACAGCCAATCAGCGTCCAGCGGCTTACCAAGGCGCTCTGCCCCCTGGCCCTGGTCTCGTGACCCAGGCTCCGCCCGAGCAACCTTTTTGTGTCTCAGAAAGAAAAAAAAGCCGAGCTTATGGAGCCTTTTCTTAGTTCTTCGCTCTTGCGCTCGCTCCTCGAGAGAAACATCCTCCTCCTCCTTCTCCTTCTCCTCCTCCTCCCCCCTGGCCCATCCCGTCGTTTATCACCATCCCCAAGTCCGCCCTCGAGAGGACGCTCGTTCACTCGCTTCCTGTCGTCTTTCGAGGCCCGCGGCTCTGGACTCCTCGTCGTCGTCTTCTTTTCTTCTGGTCGCTCGCTCGCTCGTGCTTGCTTTTTTTTCCCTCTTCTTTATACTTACATATATATTCGAGTGGATCGTTACTCCTGCGCGACCCCGATCACTACCCGTGTTTTGTGCACCTATACTTGCCTCCGTACATAATTCATCATCATATATATACAACATCGGCCCCCTAGGAGAGAGACACTGCCCAAGTATCTCACATTTTTACTTGTTGCTTTTCTTTTGGGGCTGTCTGATATATACTCCAGGAAAACTAGAAACTCTGCCTCTCTCGACGGAGTTTTCGCCTAATCATAATATCCTTCCTTTTCTTTTCTTTCGTCCGCCGTTGAGCGTCGAGGGTTACGCAGGATGACTCGCTTCGTCACTTTTGCTCTCGCCGTTGCGCTCTCTGCACAGTCGGTGTTGGTTGCTGGTGCTTCCCAGAAGTGTAGCCCGACTCAGAAGTGCCCTAGCTCGGCGCCCTGTTGTTCATGTAAGTTGGCCTTGTCTGACACGCAATTATGAAACTTGGGGTATAATAACAAGACCTATGATGCTGACTGTTTTGGGGGGGGGGGCCTTTTTTCCTCTTTCCTTTTTTTTTTGCGTAGTATACGGAGAATGTGGTTCTGGTGCCTACTGCTTGGGAGGATGTGATATGAAATCATCCTTCACCATGGACTCGTGTGTCCCTATGCCGGCCTGCAAGAGTCAGACCTATAACTGGGACGACTTGAACAGTGTGGCTCCCAACACAAAGTACCTGGGTGATGCCAGCAAGGCGGATTGGGTCTCCAGCGGTGAGCCCAAGTCTGCCGGTGGTAATCTGTTGTTGACCATGGCTCCCAGCACCGTTGGTACCTTGCTCGGTCACAACCACTACATGTGGTACGGCAAGGCCTCCGCTAAGCTAAAGACCAGTAGGGGTCGTGGTGTGGTGACTGCTTTCATTTTGATGTCTGATGCAAAGGATGAGATTGATTTCGAGTTCATTGGAGCCGACCTGACTACTGCTCAAACCAACTACTACTACCAGGGCATAACCGATTGTAAGTTTTCTGCGTGACATGAGCCATCAACCTCGACTTTAAAAAAAAAAAAAAAAAAAAAAAAAAAAAGAACTAACGTTTACTTTCCACCTGGTTAGATACTCATGGCAAGAACCAATCACTCTCTAATACTTTTGAAGAGTACCATACATATGAAATCGACTGGAAGCCGGAAAAAATCACCTGGAGCATTGACGGCCAAACCATCCGTACTCTCGAGCGTGATAGCACGATGAACGAAACCACCCACCAGTACAACTACCCTTCCACACCCGCTCGTGTCCAACTCTCCCTCTGGCCGGCTGGTCTGTCCACCAACGGAGAGGGTACCATTGCCTGGGCCGGAGGCCTCGTTGACTGGAAGTCCGAAGACATTCAGAAGAACGGTTACTACTACGCACTTTTTGACTCTGTCACCATCGAGTGCTACGACCCTCCAAAGAGCGCCAAGGTCGAAGGTAGCAAGGCCTACGTCTATACCGATAACAGCGGTACTGAAGGCTCCGTCAAGATCACTGACGACAGCACCATTCTTAAGTCGTTCCTCGGTAATGGCAAAGACAAAGACAAGGACTACCCAAGCCCGACCAAGGGAGGTTTCAGCCCACCACGGCCTACCGAAGTTGCTGTCATTCCCGGTCTCAGTGGTGCTGGTCCCGGCCTCGACGGCAAGCGACCAGGTGACGGTGAGAAAGGAAACAACGGTGGCAGCGGCGGTAACGGTGGCTCCAACCCTTCTGCTCCCCAACAGTCCGGCTTCACCCAGGGTCCTGTCGGCGGCGACGGCAACTCGAGCGGCGCCTCTGCTCCAGGAGACCAAGTCCTCCAAGGCTCACTATTTGCTGTTTTCATTGCCATCATGGCACTAGTAACTTTGTAATAACAGTCTCAGCTGTATATATACTCTGAGCCACCCCCCTTTTACCCTCCTCTTCTTGTTAATGCTTTTATGTCCCCCTTTTTTTATCATCCTACTTCTATCGCGATCTTACTCTCTATTCCCCATTATACAAAGCCTCTCAACGCATTTGGTCATGTTCACCTTTATTTTTCGATCTCCCCCACCTGCTCTCATCATCTCAAGTAGAGCAGCCCCTGTCTCCCTCTCTCGTCCTCTTCCTGGTTGATTGATGTATGATCTGGTCCATTTTTAGCCTCCTTAAACTAGTTAATGTGTTTTTGCTTATTTATAAACTATAAACCTTAAATTTCGCCCAACGTCTATCATGCATCAACTCCAAACATCCTTTCCAATATCAACCTTCTCTATGCATATTCTGGCGCAGGGGACCTTATTTTTGCAACTGGCTGTGGCTTGCTGTAAGCTTTCTTTTACCGAACTCCTTGAAACTCTCGCATGTACGTGCTGGATATATGCATATCCCTTAAGGCTGATAGCGCTCTCCTATTCGCTGCATGTTACCGAGTAACCCCCTATAACAAACAAGAGACAACCATATAAAGGTCTCGGGAGACTAAACGTGCCTGTCTTTTTGATGTTGGCCCGGTTGATACCTTGGGCCTGGCGTTCTTTGCTCTGAACGTGCTAGGAAATGTTTGCATAAATGTTGACAGCCCCAGCCAGCTGTTTGCCTACTTGGATTCAAATTACTTACTTACTATGCAAAAAGCAACAGAATAAAACTAGATTGCTTAGGTTATCCCTTCTAGACAATTTTGCCTAGAATGTGATACTAGTTTTGCTGCCTTACGGTTGATATCCATTAGTTTACTTTCCTACCTAAGGAACCTAGTACTTCCCACTGGATTGCTACCTTCCTACATACCCAGCCAGCTTTAAAATACCCATAATCCCAAGACGAGAAGCAATCTATCTTTATAAGTTTTGCTCTATCATTTTCCTCCCTGGATTGCGGCTGAGTGCAATTCCCACCTAACTTCACTCCCACTTTACCCTTCCCTCCATGGATTTGGCATAGGTCAATCAAAGGCTGTCTTAAGTAACTATTCAAGCAAACTGCTTCCTAGCCTATGTTAAAATCATTGGCTAGTTAGCACGATGAAGGATAGGGCATTTTTATCCTTGTGGCCCTTGTTCTGGTCCTTACTTATCACTGGTTTTCAGTCTGGCCAGAACATGTGTTGTGCTGGCTAATAAAGTGGTATAATTTGATATTCGTTCCATCTTACCTATCCCTCACATACTTACTACTTGCTGATCTGCTCACATGTCAACTTCAAAACAAGAACAGTTTAGTTGCAGTTCTTGAGTCCTAGTAAGTTACATATATCTGCTAGCTAGGGATCTGTAAGGAAATACTAAGATTTATACTTACGTTAGTAAGGGAGTATTTACAACGAGCTGGGACTGGACGAAAAAAGCACACCAATTCAGAGCAACAGTGCCTCCAGGGGCTTTGTAGCTCTCCTCATAAACCAACACCATATACATCTACAGTATGACCTTATCTCTTTAACTCAAAAGGCTTTAATCCAGATTAATGAGCCCACATAAAGATACAGTCTCGAGTACAATGTGTCGATATTATATGATCAGATACCTCTGCCAGTGCCAAGGGGTTTTCCTCCACTCATTCTGTACTCGCGTTTTCCAGCAGCTCGTTCGAATCAATGACCCGCAGGAACGAGCCCGCTATGATATCCCATTTGACGATCTCCTCCATTGTGCTCCAACAGACCATAGTATTGTTGGTTACGATTTTAGAAACCATACCTGCATTGACTGTCGTATAAGGCTCGAGAGGTGGTTTAGGAACGACAGTATTATATTATGAAGTGGATGGGTGGCACAGGCACATACGGATGGAGGTCTTTTGATATGTATCCTTTGGGAGGAACTTTGTCTCTGTTCTTTTTTCGACTCCTGGCTATTATGCTATGTGGTCCTTCTTGGGGCTTGTTTATGCAATAAAGCCTAGAGAAAGTTTGTATTTGACCTGGGAGGATGGTTGCATGTTATTCGAGAAACCGGTGGTTGATATTCGAAGAAGTTGTTATATCAGGTAATTGGCTATGGGCGACCCTTGGGGGGCGGCTAAAAAGGGACTTCTAGTCCACCCGCTGACGCTACGAGTGTATAGACAAAGATAGAATCTCATGAGAATATGGCTCGTATTACGCTCAGGTATATAGACTGTGTCTAGTAATGGTCTTGGGAATCGAACATTAGAAGCAGAAAAAGTAGTCTACAAACAACCATTAAACCGCTCCAATGTGAAGCACGAAATCTTAGGAACTCAGAAATGACGGCACATAAGAAAGCTTATAGAAGAACCGAAAGAGATGTAAGATAGCAGAAAGTCTATCGATGATTGCCACAACCACAATCTGATCGTCCTTGATGTACAGGCTCCTCATCAGGGCCTCTCTTTCTTAGACGACGCTTGAAGTCTCCGTGATAGGTATCAAGCTGGTCGACAATCACATTCTTGTCAAGCGGCTTACCCATCCAAGAGTAGTCGGATGCAGATTCTTCACTGCTAGTTGAGGGCTTAGTCTTAACACCCTTCAACTTTTTAGTGATAGCATCTAGGTCAAGGTCAAGGTAGGTAGCGATGAATCCGCCCACTTCAGTGTTTTCGTGGTTACCAACCAGTGGGAGAGCGTCATGAGGAGACGAAGCAAAGATGCTAACATCAGCGGCAGAGTGGCCGTGGGTGCTCCAGCCTATCTGGGCTCTGCGACTTACAAGGTCGGCAAAAAGATACGCAGCAGGTCTGCCGGTGTTATCGATCAGACGATCAATTTCCTCGTCAGTGGTGTCGACGATTCCTAGAGCAGGCTTGATGAATTTCTCGCGAATATGCTTGCGCTTTTCCTCTCGGGATTGGCCATGACCTTGTCCTTCTAGGTAGGCGTTCAACTTGGGCTCGAGGTACTCAGAGGAATGAGTAGCATTAGCAAGAGCATCGGGAAGCCAGAGGTACTCTGGGTATGATTCATGGAGCTGTCTTGCAGCGGCCAGACCACCGGTTTCGTGGTCGGATGTGCTGACGAGAACACCGGGGGTAGAGTCGTTTTCAAGGAATTCTAGAACAGCTGCAAATGCCTTGTCATATGTCAAAACCTCATGGACCTGAGCAGCTGGGTCGTTACCGTGACCAGCATGATCAATTCTCGAGCCCTCAATCATGATGAAGAAACCATGCTCGCTATCCTTGGTGGCATCACTAAGTGTCCTGAGGGCAGTTCTGGTCATCTCCTCCAAAGACGGGAACTCTTTCTCCCGGTATCGTCGATCAATTTCATAAGGAATATCAGTTGGGGCCAGGAGACCTAGCAACGGCAGTTTGGCAGCTTCGCCTTTCTTCAGAGCATCGAATCCTTTGCGGTCATCAAAGTAATGGAAGCCCTTAGACTGCGCAAGCTTGACCAAATCCTTGTCATCGGCACGACAAGACCCGGAGGTAGAGTTGGGCAGGAAGTGGCATCTACCCCCACCCATCATAAGATCAACCTGTACACCGAGAGGGTATTCACCAAGCTGGTGTTCAGCAATCAGATCTTCATAGCCACGAATGTTCACATGGGAAGAGAAGCAGGCAGGAGTGGCATCGGTGATTCGTGTAGTGACGACCAAACCGGTCATGTAACCTGCTGCCTTAGCAGCTTCCAAGACGGTTCCACAGGGTGAGTGGTCAGGAAGAACCGATATGGCACCGTTATAACTCTTCTTCCCACATGCGAAGGCGGTGGCTCCGGCGGCTGAATCTGTCACCAGGCTGCTGGAAGACCTCGTTCTGGATGATCCGATATGGTGTTTGTCCAGGGTCAGGATATCGTCGATAGGAAGCTTGTCAACATGCTGCCTGAAAGAGCGAGTCATAGACAAGCTCGTAGGCCCCATTCCATCGGATACCATGAATATCATGTTCCGTTTCCCAGTGTGCCTAGCTCTATGGGGGTCTTGGGGCAGGGAATGGTCATGCTGGTAGACGATTGCAAGGACGATAACGGCAGCAGTAGCGACGAGAGCCCAAGTAAAGAGTCCAACTTGACGCCAGAAGTTAGGGCTACGACGGGAATCATCGTTGATAGTACGGCTGACCCGCTCCCCGGTCAGAAGGGTAGACTCTTCATCGTTTCGGTCCGTGTCGTTCGATGGGCGAGGGTCGTTGGACGCCATCGTTGTATGGGCCAACGCGGGCCTGAGTATATGTGCGCGTGAAGGACGAAAGGCTCACCGAGGCTCTCACATAAGATACGGTGATATGAAGGACGGCGTGGTTGTCCTTGTACTCGGTACTTCGTACACTCTGTTGCAGCCTCCGAGATGCCAAAAGCTGGGGAATCGAAGTCCCGTCGTCGCGATCGGGTCACGTGAAAGGTACCGCACATGACCCGCAGAAGCGCCGGGTCAAACTAACGACGGAGCTTGCCAGGGGGGCGATCCAACATTGGAGTCTGCGTAATCAGGGGGTCAGGAGACGACGGGATAATTTACAGGACACGTTATTCATGCTCAATGCTTAATATCTATAGTACATAGCTGTATATTACAAGGTTACAGGAAGGAAATATGGCCGCCGAGGGTACGGAGTAACAGGCCGACTTCTCTATCCAATCGGTAGCAAGGCGGCTGCAACTTCTTGAACGCCTCTCTCTGTTGCCAGCAGATTGAACTGCGCAGCTGCATTCCTAGTATCCTGAACCTCAACTCTTATGCCTAATTCATTAATATGCCTCCTAGTCTCGGGCGAGATGGGGCGCATCGTGGGACCCAGCCCAAGAATCAGCAGATCTAAACATAAAAGTTAGCACAACCATAGAGTAGCCATTTCCAACAGGAGATATATAGACGTCCGGTACTAAAACAATGCATACCAGGTTTAGGCCATAGAAGACGTAGAGCACCCCAAGCACCCTCCGGCACCTCCCACTGGCCCTTCTCATTAATAAAGCTCCTCTCCTTGCCGGCCGCAGCCTCCCACGGTTTCCAAACAAACGCCTCCCCATCAACCAGTAAACACCCATTCCCATCCGCAATCCGCACGCCGTTATTCAGTTGAAATCCATCATGGTGGCATGCGTCAATGGCTGTTGCAGGTACCGCTGCACCAGATAGGATGTTCAGTGAGTTAAGATCCGTCATGTGTTGCGCATCCGTTCCTTCAGGCGGTGGACCGCGGTAGTTTGATTTGGGCTTCATATCTGCTGATGATAGTGTTGTACGGCGTGGACGGGGTTGGGCGCGGACATTGGGGTCAGGATTGCTTTTGTCGCTGGTGTAGGTGCGGACGCCGGCGGGTGTGGGTTTGAGAAGGCATCGAGATATTTTCGGTTGGAGGGAGGCGTACGACGGCTGAGATGAGGTAGAAATGCTCTTTGAAATAGAGCTTCGGAGGGAGCGGAGGAGTAATGTTGATGGTGGATGCATGATGGCTGACCTGGAGTTGCCGGGCTCAGAAAGACGAGAGTCGGGATGTTGTAGATTTGAAGTCTTTTTTATGAAGTAAAAGTCTTGGCATTCTTTCACAGCTCAAGTTGAGTTACGCAAACGAACTTTGTAGTTTTTTTATCGGTTCCACAGCGCATTTGCAAATTGGTTATCTCAATAACAATGCTTTTTTAATCATATTCTATATAAGGTAGCCCGTAACCAGCCCCTCGGCGACCACTGAGAAGACGCTCGCCGTTGTTTCTAATTTTTCCTACCCTGCCTCGCCTTTTATTTTTGGTTTTACCAGCCCCGGAAAAGGGGAACGAAGAAACACCCAGTCAGAGTCCTCGAAGAGGGAAGAGAAGGGGAAAAAAGACGGAAAGAAATGATAGATAAAATAATAAAAGAGACATTACCATTAATAACGCAATTAAGCCGCCCGAAGGAGAAGTAGGAACATAGAAGGTGCGGTTGTTAACAGGGAATGGGGGAATTGAATGGCAAAGAGTTATAAAAGACATAGTGGAGAAGGGATGTATAAGAGCGTGCGTGGTAGAAAATCGAGGACTAGGAAATAAAAGGGAAGGGAAACGGAACGTATGAGGAGTTAAATAAGGATGCTTGCAAATAAACCGCTTTGCGCCATAGGAAACCCATGTCTTGTAAACTGCTAACGCCAGGAAATGATATCAATTCTCAATGCCTCCAGTCCCCTTTGCCTGTAGCCGTAATGGATGCTTAGGTTAGTGCGAGGCCGTGTACGTCGTCATAACTGTTGAGTAAGATATAAAGGTAATAGGAAATACAAGCGAGAATAAGAGTTTCGGGTTTGGTGTCGCCGTGTTTTAAGGTCCGGCAGGTTTGGCCTCGGGAGCTTTGGTAGAGCGCTGTGACAGGGTTGGGCGTGGACGAGCAGTGGTCTCCGCATGCCTATCTTCGTCTGACTGGCTGGAGCTATCCTCACCTCCACCAGCCACCACGGAACTGCTTCTCAGTCGTTCCGCGCGATCCTGCAGGGCCTGTGCCTCGGCGGCAGCTCGCTGAGCCTTAATCTGTTTACGCCACATGCTCGAATAACGGCCCTTCATGGCCAACAGCTGTTCATGAGTACCTTTCTCGGCAACTTGTCCGTTTTGGAGGACAAGGATCTGATCCGCCGTGGTGATCGTGCTGAGACGGTGAGCAATGACAAGCATGGTTCGGCCCTTGGACAGGGGAGCCAAGGCGCCTTGGATGTGTTCTTCGGTGTCGGTATCGAGAGCGGCGGTAGCTTCATCCAGAAGAATGATACGGGGGTTCTTGATAATTGTTCTAGCGATTGCGACTCGCTGTTTCTCTCCGCCACTCAGTCTGAGACCACGTTCTCCAACTTTGGTTTGATAACCATCGGGGAAGGTGAGGATGCGGTCATGGATACTGGCTGCACGACAAGCATCGTAGATGTCCTCGTCGGTTGCCGCAGGGTTAGCGTACTTGAGGTTGTACATAATGGTCTCATTGAACAAGACAGTATCTTGTGGAACAACTCCGATGTGTCGGCGGAGCGAGTCGATAGACACACTCTCGACAGGGTGGCCGTCCACGCGGATCTGACCAGAAGTAGAGTTGTAGAACCGGAACAAAAGACGGAAAACAGTGGATTTTCCACCACCTGACTCTCCCACAAGGGCCGTGGTAGTACCAGGCTTACATTCGAAGGAGAGTCCATTCAGGGCCGGCTTGCGGCTGTCATATGCGAAGTGTACCTTGTCAAACTCGATTCCGCCATTGCAGGAGCGGAGTTCATCAACATCAGGTGCATCAACAACAGTAGGTTTTGCCCTGAACAGCTCCAGAAGTCGTTCAGAGTTAATCATGGCTCCTTGGATCGAGCGATAAAACGTCCCGAAGAAGTTTAGAGGTCCCTGAAGTTGGGACATGTATGTGAGCAAGCCAACGAACTGACCAACATCTCTCTGGCCATTTGCGATCTGGAAAGCGCAAATGAAACAAGTGATGAGAAGGCCCAGCATGAAAACGGTGTTCTGGCAAGTATTCATCAACTGAAGAGAAAACAGGACATGGTATTCAGCTGCCTGGTAGTCCGAAACGGCACCACGGTATCGGTTGAACTCGTAGGGTTCAGCATTAAAGTACTTGACTGTTTCATATGAAACCATCGAGTCATTTCTACGCCAATTAGTACAAGTAGCGGTGGATAAAGGAGAGAGTTGATAAGGGGATGGATGGACTTACTTGACAGCATCCTGCTGGCGATCAGCATTAGTCATCATGCGTCGGACTTCGCCTCTCCACTGGGCCATGCGGATGGTCAGATAGAGGTACAAGAAGGTAATGATGCCTACCACCAATGCGTAGTAGACATCGAACTCGACGAAGAAGTATCCCACGGCAATGCACATGTCAACCAACATCGGCACAACCTGGAATGTAACCTGCTCAAGGAAGCCGTTGATCGAGCTACCTTTACCCAGGGCAGACAGGACCTCGCCAGTTTTCTTGCCGAGGTGGAAGTCGAGGCTGAGACTGTGGACATGTTCAAAGGCGGCCGTTGAGAGTTCCATGTAGGAGTACTGGCCAACAGGAATCCACAAGAAGGAACGCAGGGATCCGATAAGGCCCTGGGAGCCCTGTAGTGAGCGGAAGATGACGTATAGACAAATGGTACCCCATGGAACGTAGAACTCGTTTCCATGTTCCTGGGCAAGGATATTGACGATGTTACGAACGAGCATGGGAACTCCGAGGTTGACGCCTCTTTGGAGTATGACAAGGAAGAAACAGAAGACAACGATTGACTTCAGCTTGGTTGACCTGGACGGCCAAAGGTACGGGAAAAAGAGCGAGTAGCCGCTCATGTACTCCCACCAGCTGGTCGACGGCAGTGTCTTTGGCCGCACCCATCCGTCTTCCTCGGGCTGGTCATCGTCGTCATGTTTGAGGTGTCGATGAGAAGCACCGTAACGGTCACCGTTGGCGTGTGCAGTGCCATTTCCCGAGTGTAGCAGTGAAGTAGTCTCTGTGGCAGTCCCGCTGTTCTGAGCTCCGCTTTTCAAGGCATAGGAAGTCAGGCTGTAGATGACAACCAGAGACACGAGCAGCAAGATCCGGGCACTGGCTGTGACAACGAGGCCGGCTTCCCAGGTAGTCAGCCCCTTTCTGAGCGGGCCCCCGAGCGGGTCGCCAACGATGGGCTCGTGGTGCGGCGAGGTGTTGATATCAAGGAACAGGGCCAGGATGACCAGCTCCAGCAGCATAGAGACTATCCAGGTGATGAGCTGGGCCACTGTTGGTGAGGGCGTAGTGTCAATCAGAGATATCAGCACCAGAGTGTGGACAAAGAAAGTGCCGACCACATGAATCTGCAGGCAGTTAGTTTAAGAAGAAGAAGAAGAACAAGAAGAAGCGTCTCTCTCTCTCTCCCCCCTGGGCGGCCACAGCATGGGAGATGCACGACTAAGCATGCAGCTTTTAAACAGACGTCATTTCATCAACAGCAACAGCAACAATAACAACAGCAACATCAACAACATCAACTACAAAGAAGAAGAAGAAAAAAAGCTTGTACTCACTACGACTGCTTGACCACACCACCAGTGGTCCTTTCGATGGAGCACAATGTGAGCAACATGGATGGCGGCCTCGGCAATAAAGCTGAACAGGACGCCCACGGCCAGCCATTTGAAAGCTAGCTTCGTGGCAGGCGAGAAGTCGGGGGTTTTGCGGGCAATCAGCACGGCGCTTCTCATGCGCGTAGGCAGTGGCCTGCCTCCGGGGCCGGTCCTTGCACCCTTTGTATGCTGCGCCTTGGGCTCGATCCTCCGGTTTGCAATGATGGTGTTTGTGACAAAGGCCACAGCAAAGACGACGAATAAGATGACGGGAGAGAAGTTATGGAGGGTGTCCAACGCGCGTCTGATAGGCTGCATTTGATGAGCGGCCAGCCCCAGGCCGTCAATGCTGACGGTGCCCATAGCTATCTTTTCCCTCTTTCACGCAACACACTTCTCCCTCTCTCGGTCTCGGTGGCTTGTACCTTGCGTTATACCTGGCGGGAGAGTCGAAGTCGACAGCCGGTTTTGCTGATCGCGGGAGGGGGGAGAGGAGAATTACTTCAATTGACTGATGCTCATGCTCATGTCAAAGGAGGCCTGACAGTCGACACTCGGCACTTCTTTTGTTTATCTGCAGCTCGGAAGAAGAGAAGAAGAAAAAAGAGCTGGAGTTATTTGAGAGCAGAAGAAAAGCAAAGGGAGAAAAAAAAAAGTTGAAGAGGAAAAAAAAAAGCGAGCGGAGGGTGGGAGAAAAGACGACGACGACGACGACGAAACAAGCTGTTGGAAGCTTCCCAATATAAGTTAGCCACGAAGAGGAAGAGACAGCGACAGAACAAGGACAGCGTGAACTACGACGAAGAGAGAGAGAGAGAGAGACGGACAGAGAGAAAGGAAGAGAGGAGAGAAAAGAAGAAAAGGGCAATCGGCCGCAAGAACAGGTACCAGTTTACGCGGCAGGTGGGGGGTGGAGAGGGAGAGGGACGGGGGGGGGAGGATGTTATTCTTTTTTTGCGATGGCGATGGAAGAGGGACGGAGAGGAAGAGAAAGAAGCTTACAAGCTGCAAAAGCCAGACAGAGGAAGACGGCCGTGAGGATGAAAAGAAGAGGAAGAAGAGGAGGAGAAGAAGAAGAAGAAGAAGAAGAAGACTGAAGACGGCGAGATGGCGAGAAGCAAGGTACCACACAGGGCCGAACAGAAGGCCGGCGGAACAAAGGCAGCAAATTAGAGATGCCGCGAGCCTCGACGTCACTTAAGAATATAAAGTAAGGCCAGCAGCCGGCAGCAGGAGAACAAAGATGCGACAGACCCGGAGCTGCTGATAGGCCCGGCGAGTGTGACGGTGACGCCGGAGACTGCAGTGAGCGAGCTGAAAGAGAGTGTGTATGTGGAAGAGAGAGTAGAAGAGTGGAAGAGAGAGAGACAGTTATGTAGCTAGTTGGTTATAAGCAGCGGAGGCGGCGGCGGCGGANCGAAAAAAGCGTTGAGAAGAGGCGAAAGCGGCTGCCCTGGTCATCTTTAACTAGTTATCGTCGAGCAAGCAAGACGATCGCCTCTCGACTGCTGGCCACGGGGACATACATCTTCTTAGCCTGGCCGTCGACTGCCTCGACGAGCTAGCTAGCTACCACTAACTACTCCCTCCTCCTTAGTTAGCTCAAGGACTGCGTGCTCAAGAGGGACAAAGGCTGCCTCCGGGTGGCAAGGTCCAGCGCCGGCTTGCTCTTCTCCAGCACCACCAGCACCAGCACCAGCACGCTATATGTCTATGTCTATGTATAGCGCATCGTATCTCTCTACTTGCATAGCTCTCGCCCTGCAGTAACTTAGTAGTTAAAGGGCCAGCTTTGATCGATGCTACCTACGGCTAGTTAGCTGGAGTCGTAACTCGTGAGCTCCGACTTTACCCTCCCCTGCCTGCCAGCGAGTACATAGTGTCTCCCCCTACGGATACTTAGCTAGCTACACCAGCCTCTGCCCGCCTACAACAGCCCATCGCCCTCCTCAAGCGGTGAAGAAGAAGCAGGACATCTCATCTCTGGCGGTGAAGCTCCGTCCTTTCTTTTTCCTCCTCGTCTTCCTTTCCTTTCTTTTCCCTGCGCGCTGCCGGACCATGTAAGTACGTGCATACACACACATACTCTATATATATGTATGTATGTACCTAAAAATTTCACATCCTAGCTACCCGGTAACTACTGTACATGTGTACTGTATGTATGTATGTACATCCCGCATGATATACTTTCCTCCCACTGCGAACTGCCTGGGATGCTCAGAGGGATAAAAAAACTTAGCATGAGCTTTAACCCGTTTTTCTAATCAGGGGTAGGTATCTGATACCTCCCGCCCTGCTGCCACCGCCCCCAAGTTCCCGGTACCCAGTACCCTGCCCGGGGGGTGGTTCGTATGCATGAAAGTATGGGCTGTGCTGACCATTTCTTCTTCCTCCTGCATGGTCTGGGCCATCGCTTTTCCTCTGCTTCTCCGCCATTTTAGCTGCATGCGATGTGATGGAGAGAGTGATGGCGCTTGCTGCACACCAAAAGTTACTGTACCCAAAGACCAAGACCAAGGACAAAAGGACAGCTCCAATTTTTATTTTTGTTACTAGTTAACGGAGAGAGACTTAACTTACTACTAATAACGAGTCCCTTAAAACTGGTTGGTTGCGGACAAAGTCGACGTGAACGGCTGACCAGCTGCTGTCACCGGAGTCTTCCTCCCCCCCCCCCCCCCCCTGGACACGCAGGGCTTTCGTCTTCTGCTCCTTTTCTTTTCTTTTCACGCTCCATCTTCTGCCACATGTGATGACAGGGGAGGCTTGCTTTTTCTTCTAGCCTTATTTTTTTTTTTTTTTCTTCTGCTCCGATTCCTTCTTCTTTGCTTTTTCTTTGCTTTTTTTTTTTTTTTTGTACCTCAAACTTGACCTGGGTAACCATCTTTCTTCTCCCGGATGTTTATAGTTTGGTGCCGGCCAGCTCGATCTCTCAACCAACGGCTCATGGCCATGCAAGATCTGTCTCCTGAAACCAATTAGCGTGGCCATGGGCATGGGATCTTTGGCCTTCCATCTCCTTCTGGTCTCGCGGGAATCGGGAAAACTGGGATATTCTCTGTCCCTGGCCGTCTTGTCAGAAACCTACACATCGGCTTTCTCTGGTATAACAGCAAGCGATTACCGCCTCACTCCTTGTAAGGGATTTGATAACACTCTCTCTCCCTGCTCGGCTATATCTCTTCCGTCCCCCCACGGTCGATACGAACCTTTTATCTAGATAAAACAGTAGTACACACCTTTTCCCTACTTAACCACCATCCGCTTTCCCCCTGACGGGCCGCTGCCGCCAAACACAACAACGCATACTACTTAGCTCTGTCTACGGAGTACCAACCTAGAATAATATGCAATGTAGCGGGCAGTTGATTGCCTTTCTCTTTAGACTGACAGGTAGCTTTCCTTCGCCGTCATCCGTGCCGCGGAACCGTCGCTGGCCATCCCATCCATGCCATGTCATCGACCTCCCACGGCTTCCCACAGCAGTCACCGCCGTTCCTCTTAACTAACTAACTAGCTTTTCCGTCTCTTGTAACAGGCTCAAACGGGTGTCTCTTCCCACGGCCCAGCGTAAGCGAGCCCGTCCTTCCCTCGGATTGCCCTGCCAGGCGAGATTCGGAGCATCAACTTCTCCAACAACTTCTCCAAGCTCTTGATAATCTCTCTCCTTTCCCCCCCCCCCCCCCCC